ACAACCAAGTGACTTCTACAAACTGATTGCAGATGAAGCTGTTGAACCTTTGACTTCCAATTGAGATCATCACAAAACACGACGCTTAAATGTGCAGTTAACTCAAATTAAAACACCTCATAATCGCGAACTTTGCTCGATCAAAATAAACAATTTCTAAAACAATAAGCACCCGTATTAATGACATATTACAAAAAAAGTTGCGTGCAATTTGCAATAAATTACCGTACAACATCGGCAGTAAACCCCGAAAGACAATGAAAAAAATTCCTCTCATCATCATTATCCTGTAATTAAAATCCATTATTAGTTACATAGGTAATATTAAGACACCAGCATGTCTTTAAATCTAGTCGACAGATATTCAGCCATTGTGTGAGTCTTCGAGAATTTCTCCAAACCTGTCGCTCGGTGTTACACGTGTTGACGTGATATTTCACAGAAGTGTCGGACAGATCTACATCTGCCCTCGCTGTCGACCGAAACCAGCTTTCCGTGAGACGATATTGGTGGCAGAAGAGCAGGTATCTTACAAGCTGAACAACAGCAGGTGCTATCTTTTGTTTTCTCTGTGTTTTTCTCTCTATCTCTTTTAAATAATTCTTGTCTGCTGAGGCATGTTATGTCAACACTGTGATATGGAGGGAATGTTTCTTTTGGTGTTTTTATTTTTTCTCGTTTCTTGGCCCAGAGTGCTACTTTCGGCATGCTCAATCCAATAAAATTTGTACTCTCTTAAATTTGAAATTTTCAATAACGTTAAAGTTGTCTTCATTGCTTTTCCGTCGTTTCAAACAAGTAACCTCTTTCTCTAGGACTTCTTTTCTAAAATTGTTTTAAACCGTAACACTGTGATTTAAACCATATCATCGAAAAGAAACCATACTTTTCTGTAAGCTGAATCCCTCCTTTCATTATCCAGAGCACTGCCCTTACAAGACTTTTGGTCTCAGACAAGTAGTAAAAAACCTACAAGTTTTCTTCCTACAAGGAAGCCGAGGGTCAGGACCATTACTGTACCTTGCCCTTGAACCCGCCAAGCATTATCCAGAAACTGGGTGATGATAATAAACAAACTTAACACTTTCGCCTGGATCCAAAACCTTTAGAGCACGTGTCGCATGACTTTTAAGGGACCTCTCAATGATCTCTCACAATGGGCAAAACTGGACAAAAAAATCTAGGTCATTCATTCTATAGGGTGTCGAGAAGTTTCTGCAATAGTGACACATGAAACAGCTGTAACTGGACGTAAAACCTTGCCCGGGCACGTGAAGGAGGCCTTGTACGCTGTTTTACAGCAGTTTGACTTCGCCACCAGTTTCATGTGGGATATGAAAAGTAGGATGTTAACAACTCATGCACAAGTCACGCAAAAAGATTATGCGAGCACGTGAGTTCCACGTCCTCGGCCCAGACCCCACCAAACTTCGTATCAGGACAATTTCGTAATAGTGTATGTCTGGTTCTGTCCGAACGAAAAAGTCTGAATAAAATTTAAAAACCGGGAAACCGAGAAGAAATTTCTTAAAAATCTCCCAGTGTTCCAAAGAGTACCAACCCAAACTCAATGTAATTTCAAGCATTCACGAAAGAAAATTGTTGAGGAATGAAAAGTTTTATGATAACATTCCGTGCGTTGGCGTAACTCATGTCAGCAACATTGTCAGTCTCAAATTTGCACACAGGCGGTAATAGTGTGGTTGACATACAGATCTATCACAAATCTTTGAATTTTATTCTAGTGAGTTGAAATGTGTATCTTAACGTATTGACATCACCAGAATTGCACGAGATCAGAGTCAAAGACAATCATCTGGTGGATTAAAGATCTGTGACAAATGGCTTTTAGGAAAAAAGTCTTCCAGGAAAAATTGTACGAAGATCTTTTATCTAATGGTGTTCTTTACTCTCAACCAATTAAAGCACCAAAAACGCTCATGAAACTGAAGTAATCGCTTTCATCCGCACTCAACGACCGCCTCGTTCCTTGATTGCTTCGTTATAGTGCACACGTGTGCTCAGATCGGCTGTCGTGTTGATTGGCAACCGCTTAAGCCTTAAAAGCACAGGTGTAAGAGCTTAACGTAAGAAGTTAAACTGTAATTTGAATCCTATTCCAGTCACTAATGAAAAAAGAGTGACAAATCAAAAAGCCTCGTCATTTGTGATGCTTCAATGCAGACCACTGTGAACCGCACGAATACCAGACAAGTGCGTATGGCCATCTACCCTCGCGCACTTTTACTCTTAAAGCTTGATAGAATTTTAGGTAGCGCAATTGCGTTCGCTTAAATCGAGAGGATTGCTTCTGAAAGCAGAGCATCTCGTCTGAAACCGAAAACAGTCCACGATCGCATGTATTTATTGAATTTTGTTTGTTTCTTTCCGTTCTTCCGGCCTGAAAAACAGCAATCAACTTCCATCTCGGTTCTCGGCAAGTCGATTTTATCTATTTACGTAAGAAAGTAATATTCCAACAAAAAGATCCATCTTGAAGAATTTAGTAAGTCACTACAAAAACTTTAGAATTTTTACTCTGGCTTCTTAGTTTCAGCAACACTTGGTCAACTATGGCGTTTCTAAACTGAAGAATACGCCCAAAATTATGCTCTGCTTCGAGGGTTTAAAAAACAGAAACAACAGCAAAATTTTAAGTAATAATTCTATGCACTTCCTTGACCGTTAATCGAAAAACACGGATATTTACTAATAGACGAAGATTAGAGTAAAAAATAACAATTAAAATAAGAAATTTTTCTAAGTCTTGGATGTAGTTATGGTAACAGTGCCACCTTAATTTGACAGACGTTCTCAATGTAACTTAAAATCATCGTTTAAATGCTAAAGTAACGCCGTGTTTCTCTTTTGGATTGGCAAGTTGAAACGGTATGCATTTAGAACCCCTTCAATCCAGCCAGCTTTAGAAATTTGTAATGTGTTGCAAATGGGATTTTTAATTTGTATTAACGTAATAACCCACATTAGTTAAAGAGCGCCATCTGCTCAAAGTATTCTAATCATTACAAAAATGAAATAAATTGAAGCGCGATGAATATTTATTTTTGCAACAAATCTATTTTTGAGCAGCACAAGAGCTATAAATTTCTTGAAAGTTGTTTGTTTTTCCTTTACATCTCTAACAAAAAAGATAAAACAATTTAGAAGTAAAATCTATAAAATTTTCCTGGAAAATGTGTACGGTTTCATGAAATATTGTCAGTTTTACTTTGAAAAGCATTTTCCGGCTATTATTCAAACACCATTGAGACAGAACTTTAAATATCAGGCGGAAAAATTTATGAAAAGCCTTGAACTTTAGCTTCTGTATAAAACTCAGTCTTTGGCCCGATGGTTTGCGACTAAAAAGATCTTTTTCCTTCGAACTATAAAATATTTCTTCATCTTCTTAAATTTCCATGACGACATGATTGACAGTTCAACCAAGGCTACTTGTGTGGGTTCGCACTTTGTGTGAAGCACAGTATGTTTGAATCAGGCTACAGGCTTGTTTGTTCAGTCACCTTTACGGAATATACTCAGCTGCCTTGCTACTCTTTGGGGAGTAAAATAGTATTGATTATCAAACACTCGCTTTTTAGAATGACTTTCAAATCGTCGCGATGCAAATTTGTCAGAATCGCGGGGGTAGGCATGACAAACGGATATAGCCAAGCGACGTTCTGTCTGTTACAGATAAGGAACCCCTTAGGTAAAAGATACCCGAGATGAAATCTGTTGCCAAGAGACTGCATTTTTGCGTGAAAGATGCGTTTCGCGGGAAACTGGCTCAGCAAAGGGTGTTCATCACAAAGGACAACACCACGTCTCATAGTAACACTTTGACATCTTGTCCTAATTATGTATGACTGAGGGTAAAAAGGGACAAAATTCATAATGAGGCAAATTTAAACAAAACCGAACTAGCATAAAACAGAAGAATTGTGAGTGAGAAAAATTGCAGGTCACGTTTGCTGTTTATATCGTTAAATCTATGGTCGTAGTTTATGAAAGGAAGACATTAAATGGAATTTTTTTGTGTATGTGCGTGAAATGGACTTTCATTTGCTAAGACGAAAACATGGTCCATTAGAAGTGTTCGTCTGAGTTTTGTCGCGTGCACGATTAATCAAAATCATCTTTAGCATATCGCATGTCCGGTCTTAAACAAAAACCCTCTCTCATAGCGATCGAAACTGTTCATTTAGATCGCTTGATCACGTAAGGAGATTTCGGCGAAATAATTCCATTTTCAGTAAAATGAAATGTGGCGTTAGCCTAAACTTCCTGATGATATATTTTGTCAAAATGAGGTAAAAGTAAACCGCTTTCCAGGGACTTAAATTACGCTTAATGGTTGGCCATACTGAAGTGTCTAACAAGCTGCAGAAATAAATATTACTTATTCATGAAGCGATTTAAAACAACCTGAGGTTTTGCCCGTGAACTCAGTTACAAGCACATATTTTCACCGCCAACCCAGCAAAATTTTACGATCTATGCTGCTTGTATTTCAAATATGAGCTTGTAAAAACAGTATCTATTGATTTGCAGTACGCAATGAAAAATAGACTTGTTCGAAGAAAATTGATATTCTGATTCAAAAACACGGACTGCCATCTTGTAGAGATTGTGATAAAAATCTCATGAACTATTCCCTTACAAACCATAATTCATTTCAGATTTCAGATGTTCAAAATAATTTACGCGGGATTTGAATGCAAAATTTGTTTCGTTTCTTTTTAAACTTTTGATAGTACGTTGTACCATAACAGTGTTTCAAACGCTGTATTTTTCACATTAAGCAAAATAGTATGTCCCAAAAAAAAAAAACTTGTATTTCCTCGAGAGACGAAGCTTTCCAATATTGTGCTCTGAAAATAACACCCTCTTCTAAAGCGTCTAAATAATGCAAGTCATGGTACGAAAATAAAAAAGAAAGCGCTTCCGCCAAATTTGAGGCATGAAATAAAGAAAAAATAGGAACATTTTCAACTCACATGATCGTCTCTGTGTGGGATAAAGCTTCGATAAATCGCTTTCAAGCATAGTAGGCAGCTTTTGAACCCGAATCAGATGAAGCTGTTGTCTCTTTGGTAGCATTCGTCGTTTAAAACAGCGAGGCCTCGCTCATAGTCGACGTTCGTCTCTGGTGCTGGCAAGGTGGTCACAGCTATATCAGCCGCGCAACTGTACGACATCAAAACCAACTCACGGTCACAGTACCTTGCAGGTGTTCGGCGGAATAAATGCATTCACAAAAACTCATATTTGTTTACATGTGGCGGGCGGGCGGGCAAACATCCACTATTTCGTCGTCTTGATTGTTAAATTCAACATGCGATTAGCCGCTTGTGAAAAGTGGAGTGATCACGTGATCACCAGCAGGTGCTCAACGCGGGGAAAAAATGCAAAAAATACGCGAAACGAACCAATCCATCACAAATTCGCATTTTCATTCTTAATCACTTTGACAGATCCAGCGAAACCTAATGTCATTTTAAAACATTGTAATTTTTGTCGGTAATAATCATTCGAGGGAAATTGTAGCTTTTCCTATGAAAATGACCACAACAATTTCAGTAAGAGAAAGCAAAAACAAAAAGAAAATTGGACAAAATAAGGTGTTTTCTTTCAAATTTAGTAATTCGTAAAACACGCGAATATTACGCCTGATAGCGATAATTGTAACTTTCAACATTAATCAATATTCTGAGGTATAATTAATGAAGTTGTGAGGCAGGTGCAGTTATTGGGCCTCTCAGCTGACGTTACTTGAGAGGACAAAAAAACCCTTTGGCGGACGAAAAAAAAAATAGACAGGTGACACTGTGGGCAATTGGACAACAAATGAATAAAACCTAAGATTAAAAAAATTAACCACGATTCACTTTTCTCTGCATTAAACATTTTAAACATCTTTTTCCCAATGCATCTTTTCCAATAAAACATTCTCCTTTAGACGGGTTAAAAAAAGTAAATAAAGATGGTAGAATCAATAGCAAGATTTCTCGCACGTTCTCACCAATTTAGCCACTGTTTATCTTAATTGCATGGAAAATTTATGATGGGTTTTTCTTCTGGAAGACGGCTGATGACATCTGAGTAATTGCTCTTTTCTCAACTCAGTTGGGAGCCGAAAGTCAATTTCCTACCCTGTACTTCGGTTGGGATTTTAAGCGTCTGAAGTACAGTTAAAGCTAGCATGTCATTGTCATAAAACGTTTAAATTGCGCGTGGTAGCAAAGTTACGGGGGCCGTCTGCAGTGCGTTAAAAGAATGGTAAATATGAAAACGCTGTGAATTCATATATTTTGGAGACTACTTTTCTACGTGTAATTACAGAACAGGAAAACATAAGTACAACAAATTGCGATTTCCTCCACGTATTGTTTCCAATTGGATCTGAATATATTTTAATTTATCTCATGGAACCAGCGCTTTTTTCCTTCAATAAGAAATCAATTTGCCACTTAAAGAGAAGGATTTAAACATGACAAAATCCTACAAATTAGACAAGATTCTCAATTTTGATCTGAGTTTTACATCTCAAGGAGAAACCCTGACAGCACTTTGGCGAGAAAAAACCACAAGATGAAAGGCTTTTTTAAAGTTAACAATTATTATCACATCAAAACGAAACCTAGTAAAATTGAAAAAAAAAGATGAATAAGCTTTGATCTGGAAATTAATGCCGCTTGGAGAAGTACAGGTGAAAACTAATTTTAAGCCAAAGTAAACAACACGTTTGAGCCGCGTAAATAATGAAAATATTCGAGAAATGCTGAACTCTGAACGGAATAACTTTCACGTTCAGTTTTTAAAAAAGACGTAGAGAGTCTTGCAGCTTCTGTTTTTTTTTTCTGGACAAAAATTATAACCATTTATACTTGCATTGAAACCTTCAAAAAAGTTATATACTTTATTAAGAAATTTCACGGAAGTACTTGATTTTTAATTGCTTTAGTTTCCCTCTGTGCTCCGGCCTTGAATGATTAAAAATTAACACAAAATTATGCCTAACAATCTATCAATCGAGAGGTACTGCTTTTCAGTAATTTGCTTTGGAGAAAATAAGATCTTAAAATGCAAAAGGATTAACTGTTCTGATGAAACAAGGATTATCACTGAGGGTTTTGATGAGGGAGGTAAAAACATCAATCAAATATTGAGAATTCTTTTCGTCTGGCAGCTAAAATCTCTTCAATTACTTTTTTTTTATTTTTTTGCTTAAAAGAGCGCATCAGTTGTAGTAGTTCTGACGAATGATTCCGCAATTGATCTGATGAATGGGCACAACATATCAAAAGGTGAAAAAACATGTTTTACCTCGCTTTTTTTTTTAACTAGAAAGAGGTTTTGTAACTGATAAACTGAATTAAATTCAACACATTCGTTTCCGTACAAGAATCCTTTTCTTCAAGGAAACAAAAGATGAAGATAGTTTTTTGAAGATCAGTCGAAAATGTGAAAAAAAAGATAAAGCCTGATCTGATAAGAATGTTTCACCTGTATGATAGGTAAGTATTTAAAATTATTTTATTGACAATAACTCTATATTTCATACACATATTCCAGAGTCTTCGCTATCAGTTTGACTGGTTTTCAAATAAAAGCAGCAAAAGCGTCAGCTGCTAAGATATTTGGGTTTGTATGTACGAGTCTTCGAAGCAACATGGGTGGATTTTGTGAAGTTATTTGAAAATTCTCGTTCAGGAGTCTCCTTATCCATATTTCGCTTGACTGACACAATCTCCTAATGTTGAATGCATTGTATTATAGTTACGCTTCAATATTGTGCTGGCAATTTTCACGAAGGAAATTTCGTTTGTATAAACAATTACCGCCTTGTACCGAGGAGGGGGGAATCTGCCAAATTTTTTCCCCTTGGCATACCAAGGGTAGCTACATTTCAAAATTAGTTGACTCGAAATGGAATTCGCTGAATCCTATCCTGAACCATCACCAAGTAAACATTTTATGGCTTTTCATTACAGCACCAAAAACCCCTCTCCGTGGAAGCGGCTGAAAACTTCTTGAACTATCACTAGTTTGAGCCTTTCTTGATCAAAACAAATCAATCGCAACGGCCAATCAGAGCTTAGTAATATCACAAGAAGGCAGTGAGAACTCAAACTTTCTAAAGCGCGGGAAAACGCCATCGACCAAGACGCCGTTAGTTTTGGTTTGGTACCAGATTGGCTCAGACAGAGGCGTGAGATTCCCAGATCAATCACAGAGCAAAGCTCGTAACACAAAACTAGAGCTATCCAAAATATCTTTCTACCATCAATCGGCAATTCTAATCAACCCTTTATACAATCACCAAAATATGCTGTATAGTGTCTTCTCACAGGAGAAGGCGAATGGAGCGGAAGCCATGCGAAGGCATGGGTGGGGCGAAAGTGAACAAAAGAGGCGGGAGAAGGGAGAAATTCGACTCATTTCCAACACAAAAGCGATATTCAGCTATAAATGACTGAAAGACTTTCTTTGGGTTTTTGATTGCGTACCACTCTAGTCATTGGCGGTCTTAATCTACAAGCCAAAAGTTATTTACACATCATAATCTGTTTAAAACCTGGCTGAAATTATAAAGGGTGACGTTAAAAGAGGGTGTACAAGGAATTGACGGTCATGGGCTTCAGAGGGGGAAGGGGTCAGAAAGAGAAAAATCCTTTGTGAAGTGTCAACCTGTTTAGAAATAAAGGCGCACTCAAGAGAGGATCCACCGCTTATTTCCGATTGCTCATTTCACTGAAAAACATTGACAGCAACGATGTGATTTTATGTCCTTTACTTTCCAAATGCTTTTATGAATGTGATCACGAGACTTTTGGTTGTGAAATGAAAGACTTTAAGATTTTCAGGAAAAAAAGCCAAATTGACTGAGGGAATGATCTTTGCCGAAAAAATGAAAAAAAAAAAATGTCATGGAAAATTGTTAAGAATAAGGTTCTCACTGCTTACGACCGGCTGTAAGAGACACGATCAATTCTATGCTTTAGTTCAGAGAGTACTTTGTATAATATTCTAGTTTACAAATTGCTAACGTATATGTCGACCACTGTGGCAAATTTTCATTCACATTTGAACGTCTGCTATGAAAAGTTATTTCCCCGGGAACCCTCCACTTTTCAGTGTTCTCGCCATGAAGAACGAATGGCTAATATGCATCAAAGTATCAAAACAATATTACTGCAGTTATCATTTAAGTTTGAAAATGGGTCTAAGCTTGCTAGCACGGCTACATTGTGTTCTCTAGCAAATAATTTTCGATAAAAATTAAATCACTAAGGATGGAAAATAAAGGGAAAAATTAACTTCTCGTGACAATAAATTTATGCAGACTGGGTGTGTGAATTGCTTTCACATCAATCCTTGAAATGCCTGACCTACTTAGTAAATTATCATTGAACTATAAAAAACACTTTTTCGGGATATTTCGAAACATATTTATATTCTTTACCTCGTCTTTGCCAACTTGATCCTCTTCATATGAGTGTGTTGAGTTTAGCTCAATCCCTTGACCTGAAAGCCAAAAGTTCAGTCTTGTTATCACCAATTTGGAGAGCCTGTCCAAAATAATGTGAAAATTTGACATATAAGTACAGGTCAGTGGATGGAAATAGTTCTTTTACTGAGCAATGTACGATTATTCACCTCTTAACACTCAAATTGAAAGTAAATATTTTGAGAAGCGACGGGCTATGCGAAGGTTAACCTCGACAAAGCTGACGAATGCCCACGGCACTTGGTAACCGCCCGCCGGGGATTTTGGCGCGAACTTTTTCATCCCTTGCGACACAAGACAGACACAACATAAAAAATGTGAGTGAACAATGTGAGTGAACAAGTGTTATGAAATTAAGTGAAGGAAAATTAAAATATTCTTTGAAATCTGTTAAAGGAAACAAAAGTAGGGAAAAGGAAAACTCGAGACTTTTCGAACATAAAGCTTATTTAAGTGCGGGTATCCCGTTGACTTTCCATTCGGTTTTAAGTTTTATCAAAAGCGTTATACGCTTTCTAAACACCGTGACTTACTGGCTTATGTGGTTGATCGGTAACTTGTGTGAGACAATTTGGTTCAGACGGCCTAAAAGTACGTCACAGCATTTGCACATGCGCAGATGTTCAACCGCTGTGTACGTCGCGTTTGGGCTCTTGCGCGCGCTTTTTACGTCATGTTGTCGTGTTGTACGTAATAAGTGAATCCAGGGCAACGAAGAATAAACACAATTTCGGCAAATCGCTGACACGGCTGGGGCATTTCGCAAGTGATTGTGAGAAGTGCTCGTTATTACAGTTATTGTAACAGTGTTTTCAAAATTAGAATACAAAAAAAGATGTGTGGATCACTTCTGTCGAAGTTTAAGAATCCAACCAACAAGATACACTCAGGAAACATCAGTTTTACGAAGCCACACCAGGCTCTAAGTAAGAAAAGGCTGGCCACGGAAGACGTGGATAGGAATGAAGACAAAGAGTTTTCTAAAGATGGACTTCAAGCTAGTGCATCGAGCGTTCGTTCCATGGAAAAAATCCCCAGCACCAGCTCTTTCAAGCAGGGGTCTTCCTACGAAACTGATTCTTCGTCGCTAGATGAAACAGAATCTGCCGTGCGCGCATTGGTTGACCAAAGTAGAAACATATTCCCTGCCGCGCGCATGAACAACAGCAAAGATCGGCTCCGTGTTTTGGATCGCGATGATCAGTTGTTGGAAACTGCTCGTGAAATACTTACTTTTCAACTCTGTGCTTCCTCGTCAAGCTCCAATTCTACCCGAGCCGTCAAGCCCTTCAGTTCAGCCGTTTCCTCTGCTCCAAATAAAACGCAAGCCGCAGTGGCATTTGACATTCCTGCTGGAAAAGCGAAATCGGTCTGTCCGCCTGCAAAAGTTCCAAGGCGCTTCAGACAGTGTAAAGTAGCACCTGAGCCTAATTTGGAGGATATGGAACAGAAGATGCGTGCTGCTGAGGAGAGGAAGCTGAAGGAGTTGGAGCGCGTCCGAGAGAGTGCTCGTAGCAGGGCTAGGCTGGGGCGACCACACCCTGCGGAGACTTCTGCCCGAGCCACTGCTGTAAAAATCGCCGTTAAACAAGCAGCTGCGGAAAGAAAGCGTAGCGAAGAAATGGAGAAGCGAAGACGAGCTGGAAACAAAACGTCCCGAAATAGGAGCAGAATTGCAGAAGCACAGGCCTTCGCCAGGGACCGGCTTCAGTTGTCTATTGAACAGAAAGAGGAGCAGACCAAGCAGAGGAAAGTAAAACGGCAAATGAAGATTGATAAGCAGAATAAGATGAAACAGAAGTACGCCAAGAAAGTCAAAGATAGAGTAAGTAACATTTGATGTCAAACTCGGGTTTAGCACCCTGACTAGGTAGGAGGATCTATGATTTAAGGAACAGCGATTTAGGAGACTTTGGGCATGAAGAACATTCATTGCTATGGGGGCTGATTACACTTTCTTGCGGTTCTAGGTGACTCGAAGACTACAGGAGGAGGAAGCAGAAATCCGAGCTGACCTTCGAGATATGGAGACTTACAAAGCCTCCGGCGATAGCAGCGACGAGTCTTGGGGAGACGAAGAAAAGGAGAGAGTCAAATACGACTGGGAAGATTTCTTCTCAGACTAAGACTGATCTCTGAACCAAGCGGTTTTCGATGACTGTAGAAAACTACAAGTTTGCATGTAGCTTGACTAATCATAACAGGCACAGAGTTGATCTTGACTAATCGGAACATAGTTCTTTTCGCGCGCGTGGCGAGGGACAGGTTGTGTTACGAGTTCTGATTGGTTAATTTCACCGCTGTAATTTGTTGTGATTGTTCAGATTGCATGCTTACTTGTTTGAATTCCCGGCAGTCATTCGAAATCGCTCTACTTGAACCAACCAAAAAAAATAAATAACTAAATAAAATAAACAAATAAATAAGCAATGGCTAATGAAAAGTGGAAATATTTGAAAGTGGTCTTGAAGTTTGACAAAACATGGAAATGAAGCTGTAATTGTTCATAAGGATGCAAATGAATTAAATTTCAAACAATGACTACTTATTTGAAACTTTCTTTTCGCATTATATACTAAACTGTAAAAGATGATGCTTTATCCTCCACAAAAGTAAAACATCCCAAATATTTGCAACGTTTGAAAACACATATGCATAATTCGGTATAGTTGCACTTTTTTGCGTTTATGAAACTCATTTTGAATTGTTACTTCCGTCCTGATCTTACACCCTAGTCACATAATCTTACTTCCCTTCAATCTTCCAAGGAGGTGGATTTGCAACAATAGTCCTGCGTAGCAAACAGACATTCATTTTCATACTCTATGCTCCAGACTAGGATTGTAAAACAGCAAGTATGTTTGTCAACAGTGCTTTGAGGGAGGGTTTCTCTCCGAAGTGTTTCGCTTGCTTTTAATTTGACCCGATAGGATGGGTGCTGATTTGAGGAAAAGTGCTCATTCAAGGATTTCCGATGCACTTAAACAAATTGCGCGTTAAAAATCAACGTAACTTCTGATAACTAATGGCAACCATTAACTTCATTACGCAAGATCATCATGGTCATTGCTATTCATTAGTTGACAAAGCATGATTCCATAAAGTTTTGTAACTCATCAATACGTTGTGGGAATAGTTACTGGTGATAGGACTGAGTGGAGTCCTACTTGGTCTGTCATTACACGAGTGATAAGAAAGTCAGGCGACCACGCAGCGTAACTGTGGTTTGCTTATCACGAGTTTGAATGTGATTGGCTCAATGAACTGTCCGATAACAAACTATCAGATAACGACTCGGCAAATGAATTAGAGCAAAATAGGAGTTTTTAACCAATAACATTCGAGGAAATTGTAATTTTTATGATTTAGAAATAAAGAGTGTCTTCCATAGTTATTTCGGTACATTACATCGGGGTGGGGCCATCCTCATGTTAGGCCATATCGGATGTGCCTGCTTTCGGGGTTTCAAGGCTTTAGCAGCGGCCATCATCTTGCGTTGACCCCAGAGGCATGGCCAGAAACCCGTAAGTACTTCAATGCCACAGGTTCTAGAGGAACGCTTAGCAAATAATTTCCTAACATGCCGTGGGTTGACCCCACGAGCTAGCTCCCAATACCCGCGTCAGTCTTCCTTGAGGTACGACGATGACGATGCTCGGTCGATAGAGATCACACACGTGTGGTACTATTTTTGTCCTTAACCGTCTGAGTTAATAAAATGGGAATGAGTAAGTGCGGCTTATATAACCCAACCAGTCACTATGAGCTGTCTTTTCTCGAAGGGGTCAGAGAAATAAGAGGATTTTGTTTTGAGTAGGGTCAGGGTTCGAGGCCTTGCACGTCACACCCCTGTCCAAACTTCGCTCGCAAGTGCCCGCAAATGCAACCCCCCCACACGCACGCACGCACGCACGCACACACAACGCAACAAATGAACAAAAAGAGAATACTGACGCCACAGTTGTATTTATGACATTTGTTTAAATGCGTCTTTACCAAAGGGCACTTAATCATAACACGTTATAAATTTCATAGATACAATAAATGCCATTTTATGAGAAGGCTGTTCAATAACTTAAAATACTGGTCATATATATATATTTATATGGATAGATGTCATTCAGATTAAAAGGTAAAAGAATATACTAAGGCATTGCTCTAAATATTTCTCGCGTATTAATTTAAAAGGTTTACACTTTGATGGGAAATCATTTCTTCATGGAATCGCGTCACATAATTCTATGAATAAAAACGTAATTAATCTGGTCATTTAACAGATATTTCACGCTTTTAGCTGTTTTCTTTATGTAGTTTAACTGACTGACAAAGTGCTAGCTACTTGGGGCGTAAAAGCGAGAGCGCTGGTCAACTAAGGCTCGAGAAACTAGAACCAAAGTTGTCAAAGTTAGTTTGACATTTGAAAAGATGGCGAGAGGTTTTTTCCCTAATCAATAAATCGCAAGACAAAAGCAGTACTGTCTTTGATTACCTCTTCACTCCATCAAAAATCGCTTTGCGGTGTCGCATTTACGTTGACAAACCAAACGCAATGAGAGCACTTTAAAATAATAAGCCCCTATTATAGTTTGTTTTGAGACTCAAAAAACTCGAAGCACTTTTTTTTCGCACTACCTTACTCAGGAATACTAGCTGAATAAGAAGATTTGAACAACATTACAATGCACGGAATAAATTCTCCGAAAGCTCAATCACCATGTGAACAGCTTCGAAAGTAACTCGGCATTGTGATTTCCAAAGGGAGATAATTTCATTGATCATTTAAATAATGATAAACCAATCTCACTCGTAATTTACAAGTACAAAGTCGCTGTCATCGAAAAGAAAAAAGAAGTTGACATAAAAAATTTAATTGACACCCACTTTCTTTGTTACCATGGCAAACAATTTATCCAATGTTTTGCACCAAAACCACAGTACACCAATCTACCTTTTGAGAAATTGATGTCAATTCTAAGACTCCATCGGATAAATTTCAAGTCAATACAAACAAGTAAATAATTTATTTGTAGCCTTCTCAGGCAAATTAACTTAATGAGCACCCCCACACCGTCCAGCGGGCATTCGTTCACCTAAACAGGGGCAATGAAATGTGCAAAAACCATAAAAATCATTCCTTATACTCTTCAGAATTGAATTTTAAAGCCAGCGGTAGAAACAGTTTCACTTCCATCGAGAGTCGATCTATACTTCAATAAAAACGTTTTCAGTTCGTGTTTGCTTTATGGGCCGAAAAGACCCTCACGTGAATACGAAATAAGGTGCCTCTCAGAAACATTATTTCTAAGAATTTAAGACAAGAACCTGAAAAATTATTTGCCGTTGCAAGATTGCCCCAATATTAGTAGAATGGAGGCCACTTTTTTAATCTTCACCTATAAATCAAATCACTTCAGAGAAAAGTCATCGCTGTTTGCATATTCCATTAAATCACCATACGCGGAACTGAAAAAAAAAGAAAAAAAAAGGAAAAAATGCACAAGTAAATAAAATCCTTTCTTCGCTCCCCCCCAAAAAAATTCATCAGATTCAAAATAGATTTGCTGACATTGCAATCAAACCCTTTCCGAAAACATAGATATAAGAACTACATAAGCGTATGCATAGAGAACTACAATAAAATAGATCAAAATATTTGACAACAGTTACTCGTCACCGTTTGAATTGCTGGGTTGTGAATCAAACTCATATTTTTCTTGGATTCGTCGACTAGCCGCTTGGTATCCTTAGACTGCAGGCTCATGTCTGTGAGTTCTATACTAACCACGCCCTCCAGCGAGTTGGGTTCGTTTTTGTCGCATTCCTCATTCCCATCGTTATTCTTAATGTACTTCGATGCGCTGTTTCTTTTCTCTAAAAAGCTGTTGCTTCGAGCTTGCTCCGACATATCTCCTTTAGAAGCCAGAACGCCGTACTCTTCGATGAGTGAACTTCTCTTTCCGTTGTGAATCTCCGCATTAGTTTGATTCACCTGTTCTTCCACATTTCTATCGACGTTTTCTTTGTTACTCTCCTGTATAACATCAAGATCTTCGCAAAGGGGTGCAAATACACCCATATTCACATTCAAACAACTCGTTTTCCCATTATTCCCCTGTTTCGAAGAAGGATTTTTACCCGAAGATTTCTCTCCATTCGCACCATTTACCGAGGGAATTGGGTATGTGGTTCGCAGGCTATTGCCTCCTCCAACTCCAGTCCCCCCTCCGCTATCTCCGTCCGTGTTGCCATCGTCATTGTTAGAGCGCCTGGTATTCAATTTACAACCGGAAGTAGTTTTTAGCCTACGCATGTGTTTTTCTATTTCATCTTCGTCCGAACTACTGCAACTAGAAGAACGCCGGCTGCTTCCTGAGGGCACTGGGGACAGGCGGCGTGTAGTCCTTTTAGATTTGATCACCCCTCCCCCGAGATGTTTTCTTGTCCGTTCAACTCGCGGTGAGTTCACCGGACTGTCTTCAAGATCCGATTCGCGTTCCTCGTGAATCTGATTCAAAGATAAAGGAGCACTGTTTGAATTTCGCAACCTATTGTGATGAACAATTCTCCTTTCGTGCGGGCGCGACAGAGACGGTAAACTGGGTGTGATCTCAGTGGAAAACTGTAAGTTCGTTGAAGTGCAAGGTTTGTTTGAAAGCGCGCCCACCGTGTGAAACTTTCCATGTGTTTTGTGATGACTTCCAGAAGCTACATGGTCATCTTCTTCCATTGAACTGTGCAGAATTTCTTCCGCCTCGATGGCGTGAGTTTTGATCGTTTCATTCAACATTTGTCCTTCCCTTGGGGCCAGTCTCCCAGAAGAAATGCGACGAATCCTCGGAGATCCCGAGCCTGAACTACTACCATCCAGCTGAGTTTCCAAATCGTCCTCTTGGTCTACTTTTAATTCCAAGCCTGGTGAACTGAGGGAAAACACCAGATTCGATATGAAAAGGCATATTGTGGATTGTTTTAAGAGGGAAAGTTGCCATATTGAGGTTGAAAAGTCAACAGCTTAAACCCTTCTGACCCCTTAAAGGGACTAGCCTCTGATCTCTCCTTATAATATCAGCTATGAATCACACATTCAGGTCACAAGAATAGCGGAATAGAATATCTTGACTGTTAAAAATTCTCCCGCTCAGCACCTTGGGAAATGTATGGAGAACAGTATGGTGATTACGCACACTGATGCTAGGGTGAAAAATGTTGCGGTAAATGTTAAATCAAGAACGACGGAGGACGGCTGAGACTCAAATATAGGGTGTAAGATTCTAAAGAGACTGTGGTGCTGCGTCGGTGGGGGAGTATAACAAGATAATTTTGGTTTTATCAACTGAGTTGACCATGTGAATTAGCCACCATAAAGAGTTTCACAGCTGACGTTTTGGGCGTTAGTCCTTCGTCAGAGCAAAAGATGATTCGCTCTGACGAAGGGCTAACGCTCGAAACGTAGCTTTGAAACTCTTAACGGTGGCTAATATACGATATCAGTTCTGTTGACAACACCAAATTATCTCGAGACTGTGATAGATGGCAAATGATACTTGGGAAAATATTCAATTGAGATTCGAAAGCAGTTGTGTATGGCATTGGCCGGTGTTTCTTTTCTACACTTTGTGGACTTGTCCGACCTTCTTATCCAATCAGATGCAAAGCTAACACCAGTCACTTTTGTTTTCCCGAGCTTCAGGAGGTTTTCTTTTTTAACATTTTAGTTCTCATTTGCTGTTAGTAACAATGTCCTTCTTTCTTGACAGCGGCTGTGTTTACTTTGGTTTTGGGGCACTCAAACGAGTAGCGCACTATTTGATTCACGTGCTTTACTGTTAAAGATCACGACACTATTGACGCAATAAAGGGGGTAAGTTTCTAAAGAAACTGTGGTACTGCGTCGGTGGGAGAGTAAAACAGGGTAACAGTATTATCAACTGAGTTGATAATGTAAATTGGTCACCGTAAAGAATTTAAAAGCTGACGTTTCGAGCGTTAACCCTTCGTCAGAGCGATTGTATCTTGTTTTCCAATTAGTTTTTACATTATCAACTCAGTTGATAATACTAAATTACCCTATTGATACACTACCTTGCTGTTGGTTCCTGTCGCTTGTTCTCAGGCAAAGATCGCCGCGCATCGATCCTTCGAACAGAGGGCTTCAAACTATTATGGGATGTTTTCAAACGCCTTAAGAGCTGCTCCGCTAGCAAATAGTAAGTGGCCGCTATGTGGTCGTATGCGTTTTCTTCTAGGGACCTGTGCAGATTATATATAAATATAGACTAAATTTTGGGTGAAAAAGATGGTTTTTAAAGTTATAGTACCTTAACTATGTCTGTCTTTGCAGGTCTGTATTTGAGTGAAAAGGAAAAGGAATGGAAGGATGTGAAAACACGGTCCATAATGACTGATACTGTCCGTTTGTCAGTTTGCCTGTCTTTTCACATTATCCTGTCGATTAGTTTGTTCATCAGGGTTCCAAATCAGTGTCTGACGTCAGCATCTGACTTACTGACTGACTGGCTAGCTGGCTGTGGACAGGCTGAGTGATCAGCTAACTGACTGACTGACTACCCAGCATACTAACTAACTGACTGACCGATTAACTAACAGACTGACTGACTACCAAGCCTACTAACTGACTGACTGACTACCTAGCATACTAACTGACTAACTGCATCACTGACTTAATCACCGAGTGACAACCTATCTGACATATGCCTGACTCACTGACTACTTAACTGCCTTACTGCCTGACTGACTCACTGACTACTTAACTGCCTTACTGCCTGACTGACTAACTGGCTACCTAATTGACTTACTACCTGAGTGACTGGCTGACTGTGACTTTCAGACTCTTTAACAGAATGACTAGCTATTGTTCCCTTTCTAGGCGCTGGTTGACCATGCTGGCAGGCTCTACTTTTATGAAAATTGGCCTAACCAGCTGCAAAATTGCAGTGCTTGATGCTGCTTCAATTGGGCACTCAATTATGTACTGGTAAGTCCAACTTATAACAGCAACATAACTCACTTTTTAACTTTCTCCCTATTTGCAATTTTTCCAGTCTCCATGATCTCCACCACATAATTATGTTCCTCAGGGGTGAGGGGTAGTTCAGTTACCAAGGGTACAGGAGTGGGAAGTACAGGCGGATGTCCCCCTTGGAACCAAGGATCCTCCATAATACTCTCCACTGAACAGCGATGGTATGGCTCTCTCACCAACATTTTTTCAATCAAGCTGTAGAGAATAGAGAGATGGGGCTATTTATGATCAGTGGGAGACATGGCCAGGATATTTTGATGTGTTCTTGGGCAAAAACACTTGGCTTTCATGGTACCTCTCTCCAGCCTGGAGAATATATGAGAACTGGTAAACTGTCAGTGAAGCCTGACGAAATGCTAGGGGGTACCCTAGCAATGGACTGGCAGCCCATCCAGGGAAGAGTTGAAATACTCCTAGTCATTTCATGCCATGGTACTGATCAGATCCCTTCAGGTGTGAAAATTCCTATGAAATTGGCATAGCTCTCAGCATGTCATGTTGCAGTTCAGTTGGCAATAGACTCAAACTGGAATCTACAAGGCACAGGTTCACTCCTTGTTAAGGCCTTTTTCTGGTTCATATTTCTGCAATAATTTCAATTTCTGCTAAACTGTGAGGTCTAAGTACTAACTTCTTGCAAATTTTCATTGCATATTTCCCTTGCAAACTTTAACCCATAATTGCTTATTTCCTATTGTGTATAAGTAATTTTGTTGGATCTGTTGAAGACTTGTAATTCATTTCTCTTAAGAGAACTGTGGAATCCAAGGGAAATTGACAACAAATCTTACTTAAAGCTTTAAGAAACAAAAAAAAAGTGTACTACCAGCAGTTTGAAAACACCAAACTTAACCTAAAGCTAAGCAACTAACTGCAAAAGTCAGTTAGGGTAAATGTAATTTTCACATGCAGCCAAAAGGAACTCAAAGCAAATACGCATTATTGGCCTCGTGTAGTTAAAAATGGGAGTAATTAAGTGTTTTGGTTTAGCATTTGATTAGATGAAAATCAAAACAATTTCATATTATTTACCACAATCATGGTAATTTGAGTGAACAATTGATAAAACATTGTCACTGCTTTCCTGTTTATCAATAAGAGCCCCACCATGTCTGCTCTGTACCCAACATAGCAGCCTTGGCTTGGACCAGTGTATCTACAATAGTATAGGTAACTGTTCCCCCACTTAAAGTTAATGCAAATACCCTTCTCACACCATTCCAACATGTTTCATAAACACTTAACCAGTAGAGGTTAACCTCTATCCCAAACTATCCACCTCCCCCCTCAATTTAACATGTTTCCAAAATGTTACACTGGTGGAGATCAAGACATAATGAATGTGGGGGGGAAGGGGGGTCCTGGGCTGCCCATGACCCTGCATTTCAAGCCTTTTTTGTCACATTGAGTATAACACAGCATTGAGGTCAACATACGAATATGGTGAGTACCATCTGTTTGATACAGAATGATTCCCCCCCCCTCCCAGGAAAAAAACCCTGGTTATGCCCCTGGAGATTAACACCCTTCCTCAACCTTTCTCCTCCACTTCAACAAGTTTCCAAACACTAGATTGGGAAAGAGAGGAACTACAAGTTTACAGTGCCTTCCTCAGAGGCATGTTACAATGACCCTAAGAAGGCCTCACAGATACATTACAGTAATTGAAATTTACAATATCTAAGTATTCTGTAATATCATGGAATCAATTATTAATCACTCATATGATTACAGACCAAATTGGACTCCACTCAGTCCAATTACCATCATTAACAATAGGGTTAACATTTACCTTTGACAGGGCTGAGATACATGTCCAGATACACTGTACCGAACATCCATGATGTTGATGAGTGTTTCGCTGTCATTTGCCTCATAAAAGGGAGCACGACCACACACTAACATAAAAAGAATGACTCCAAGGCTCCAAATATCTAAGACAGACAAAATTTGAATGAAATCATTCAATTAGGATTAAAAGTTTATCATTAATTCATCATTTAACAATTTCCCTGTTATTAGAGAGAAACTTGTAATAACTACTGTATTTTCAAAATTTTGGCTAAAAGGAAGGGAACTTATTGGGTGGAGAGTGCTTATGCAATGGGAGGGGGTGCTTATTCATTTTCAACTGTTTTCTTCAAACACACCCCAATAACTTGATTATTGTAGAAATTACTGGTCCTTATAGACTACACTGCTCATTGCCCAAACATGTTCTATTTATTCCAGGGAAGTTAACCCTTTAACCCCCATGAGTGACCAAGACAGAATTTCTCCTTACAATATCAATACAATATCAACCAAGTAAGTGATGAGAATAACGAAAAATACAAATTTGGGGATAATAAGTTGATCCAATACCAAGCACATGGAGATAGAAGTAACTAGAAGTGACTTGACACAGACAAAAAAGAACTATTTTCCTGTAGTGATTCCATTGTAGTTAAAACTCAAAAAGTTATATATAAAGTAGCAACAGAAACAGATTTTCCCAGTTTCCCCAGGAAATATGGTATTTTAACTAAGATTCAATGAGTAATTCTCCTTCCTGACTGTATTACACAACCTTGTAAATTAGACAGGAGAATTTGGTGTCACATCCAGATGATACCCTCTAACACTTGAGCATATCTATTTTCATCACCTCTTTACACTATAACTTATCAAATTGTGAGAAGTTACATGTTAAGTTACATTTGTGGTAATTAAGGAAAAAATTCCTTAGCAGTTATATGGTAAATCTGTGTAACTATCAGCAATAAACATAAGAACCTTTTTCTAAATCCACCATAATGATTGCCACAATTTTTTCTTCCCAACTACAATGATCACCACAGGGCTATAATAATAATGTAATCTGACCATTGAGATTTCTCTAAACTGGGACTGAAACTTGACATTTTTCATCAATCAAGAAACTACAGTTTATTATGAAATAAATTTCAAAATTGTACCATATCCCTCCACAGGAAAGAAGAACCCTCTGAAATGTGCCCTGCGTCCAACATGTGGCTTCATAGTTCAGTTGGTAATAGCTCCCAAGTAATATCTGGGAAACACAGGTTCCAATCTCATCAAAGTCTGAATTTTCATCAGGCTCCTTTCCTGTGAGGATCATGGCTTTACTTAATCAAGAATCTCCTGCACTTAAGACTTGACAAGTTATAAAGAAACATCTGGCCGCTGGGTAAGCAATTATTACATTGAGCTTTAACTCGCTGAAACCATACAACAGAGCAAACAAACTATGATGATTTAATATCAGTGTATATCAATACTCAGAACCAGAAGTGACAAGAAAACATGCAAGCATGATCATGAATATCAGTTTTAGCCTCTATAAGAAAGTTCCTTGGTGAGGAACATGACGAAGGTTGTAATGATTCTCCCTTTTACAAATTTAATTGTCAGAAAGTCTCTGAATAGGTCATCAACACTTCTAAATAATCCAGACACAATCTTAATTATTACTGCTAAGAGTCAACAATTGCTTTCAAATACCTTTGTAGTGTAAACATTTTATGAATTTATACATTAGGTGCAGAGCTATCTTGAAAAATTTGATGAAATTGCAAACGATTATCACAAATTAAGATAGAGCAGTTTCAAATTGAGAATGTGTTCATTCAAAATTGTAATCTTTGATACCTAATGGGTGTATAAATAACACGACACCGACCAAAAAAACTGAAACAAAAAGTGTTATTAAAATGCTATAACTAAACATGTTAACCTTTCGCTCCTTAATATGAATGAAAAATTAAATTTATGTGGAGACAGAGGCTTATTCTAATTATTGTTATTATTCTTTTTCCTCTGGCCAGGTGCTGATTCCGGCGGTGATCAAAATTCTGACACAAGATTAAATATCATTCGATATTGTAAATGTAATTCTCAACTAAAGTAATTTCAAAAATTATTTTAAGCATGACTTGGCAATTGAAACTTCATACTGGCCAATCAAATACTATACATTTTCCACACAATTACTAAGTAAAATTCGAATGCTCACCTCCTACTGAGAAGGAGCAGTAAAACTGAGTTAAGCTGAAAATTTGAAGTGTGTGAATTCATTACACCGCATTTTAATGCACATCAAAAGAGGTAAATATATGCGGACACGAGCAACGTGCTCTTCGAATGTCCTTCATAATTTGACTTAGAATGAAACTATTTCCCATGGATGGACATAGGAGAATCGCAAAGACTACCATCATTAATTGGACACCGAAAATATCTTGAAGCCGCTTCGAAATCAAACAAAATTGTACAATTTCCTGCTAAATGTTGAAAGCCGCTATCAACTTGACTCTGGAACAGAGAGGCATGTTATTAGATGAAACATGTGAAGACGAACCTTATTCATTAAGATTAACGCAAGGTAAAAAACCGCTAGGAAATGAGCACGCAATGTTCGAGGAAAGCTTTTTATCCCACGGAGATGATAGTAATAATGATAAAAAATACTCACCTACTGCTGGAGCATCGTACGAATCTCCCAGTAGAACTTCGGGGGCGGAATACGCTAACGATCCACACGAAGTATCAAGCTTTTGACCGGGAGAGAACTTATTCGAAAGACCAAAATCCGTTAGCTTAGCAACATCCAAACTCTTAAAGAATATCACATTTTCAAGCTTTAAATCCCGATGTACAATGTGCAGTTTGTGGCAATAGTCAATGGCGAGAACAATTTGTTGAAAATAATGGCGAGCTTTGTCTTCGGAGAGGCCTTGTTCGTGGTTCATGATATATTCATACATATCCCCACCATCGCCCAGTTCCTGAACAAGGTACAGTTTGGTTTGCGTATCGATGACTTCGTACAATCGGACCACATTTGGATGTTGGACGAGTTTCATGCATCGAACCTCCTTGACGAGATGTGCTCTAGAGATCTCATCGAGTTTTGTTTTATCGATCACTTTCACAGCAACTCGTTCTCCCGTAAAAACGTGTCTCGCAACTTTGACAACAGCAAAGTGACCGCATCCTAGCGTTTCTTGCAGGTCGTATAATCCAGCGATTTGTCCATCTTTCAAGGTTGAATTGAAGGAGTGTTTCGCCATGTTCTGATATTAAACATTATGGATCGGCCATTTCGACTGTACGCTGTTGATGCAAACAATGTTGAGAACAGACAATGGAAACGTCAGTTTACATCACAGAGCCAATCAGAACACAAGGAATTGCGAAAGGCAGGAATTGGAACGATCGATCGGAATCGAATCTTCCCTAAGAGCGCCAAGAAATGTCATAGAAAGCAGGTTATCAAATAATATGGCAAATATTATTACGCATTCAAACATTTTTAGTAACAAAATGAAAATTCCAAAATTTAATGTAGAAACAGTACTAGAACAGTGCTTTTTTTTAAACGCAGAACTAAAATGGTCTTTGATTGCTCCTTAAAAAATTGCAGATTGACAGAAACGTTATTTTGAAGTTTACAGATATGAAATTAAACTAAAATTTCACTCTTTCCCCTCCGAAGTTAAAATATTTTAAATCTGGCAATCAAGAGAAAATCCGGGACCGGTTTTTTACAGCTGCAGCTGTACGTGGGAATCAGTTGTATGTTTGCGTGCATGAAATAAATCATTTCGTTTTCTATGTTTACATTCGTCTATATCATGGAAAATCAAAGTATTTGTTGAAATTTTTATGAAATTAAATCAAGGCTTGCGGTGTATATTTATCGATGAAAAATATCCTAAGGGTGCATTATTAACAAGTTTATTCTGAAAAAATGAACTTGGTAAGTGATCGGCGTACAATACACTGAGCCGAGGACACTTCACATCCCCCAACCCACTCCTCCATGAAAAATAATAGTCACGACAACGATGGTGATGATAATGAAAACGCAAAAAAGTAGAGAAGAATTTACATGAACATAAGCATAAGCATGAACATAGTATTGTCACTGGATTGTAAGAAAATGGTCGGAGATGAAATTACTATAGCGATGACGAAACTCTATAAACACAGGCTGGGCTCCGATTGGACGGTCCGTTACCATCTTAAAGAGGCTGCCCGCGATGAAATTTGATGATGTTAACTCTAATGGTGATACAATGAAGCTATGAGAACGAAAATTACTTTTATGATGCACCCTCGTACATAGCTCTTCTTGTGTGGCTGAATATCTGATAACGTAGAGAATGATGATGATGACGATGATAATAGTGATGATTGAGTCGGGTTAGACTCACACTCAAGAAACTGGAAGAATCAATCAAGGCAGCCCATTTGCCGGAAATTCAGTTATGGTTAAACATTCGAAAGGTAAGAGAGCTCGACTTTACCGATGTCCGGGAAATATACCCAGAACCATATAATAGAGTGGCGTTAATTGAGGATTCAGTCTCTGTATCGGTTTACACCCATAATTTACACTTGATTTCTCACGGGAACCTCCGAAAGGCGACATGCTTCTACCTGTCTGTTGAAACTGGTTCACGCTATTTGAACTCTGTGAAAAGCAGGTTTACAATACAAACATTGTTTCATGGCATAAATGCTGACCTTACCATATTTGTCACGGCTGGATGACTGTGCGTTTTCTATCATTACATAATCTTTACCATCTTGTATTTCTGAAATCTTAATGCTGCTGTTCATTAGTTGTGAGTATTTTCCGAGCTCCTACTTGCTGACAGCTAAAAATTTTCAACAAATGTTTGATTGATGGACAGTCGACCAAAAATTACACTCTCCGATTTTATTCCACGATTTCTCCTCATTTTTCGTCGTCTACTTCTTTCTCAAAGCGGGAGGTTCTTGCTTGATGTCTAATATCTAATTAGTTGTCGTAAAATTCGTTACTTCTCGGAAAATTTCGTTGCTGTTTCAGTTTCGTGATAACTCGTACTTTGGTTGGGCAGGTTCCCGCCATCGAAATTACTGAAATAGATATGACACTTGTTTGGTGTGGCCTTACTGTCTCAGCCAATCAAAACCAAGACCACCTCAATATCGTCACTCGTAGCATTGTGTTACAGCCAATCAAATCCTTTGTTTTTCACAAATACCGATTCCACGTGCTCAAAGACAGCGTTGAAGTTCCTTTCAAGCGCTAAACAATAACACAACGTTGTGTCAGCAGTTCACGTTTGTGTACGCAGAAGTTGGACGCACAGTTCCTCCCTTTTTTCTCTTCTCTGAACGGTAAAAAAACTATGCCTTCAACGAAAAACTACTACCACGGAAGTCTATGGATGAAAAAAGGAGAAAACGATGGAATGGAGTCGGTGATTTCAGATTTTCGAGACCTGCTTCAAGTCAACCAGAAAATCGATGCGGAAGAAATGAGATATGGTGATATGTTAGACTGTGAGCGTCCTTCGGTGGACGATTCAGAAATAACTCTGCGAGCCTGCATATGTCCTACGGCAGATCCATTGAGGAAGTCTGCGGCCTCCTCTTCGTCCTACAATTTACTGGTTGAGCTCATCGAGCAGGGAAATTTGATAAAAGAAGCCGTTCGGAGGTTGAATACCTCTCCCTGTCGGAGTAAACAGTTGAAACGGCTCGACCGCTGCAGATAACTGGAAATCACTGGGGTCACAGGACATGCCGACGATACAAGTTATACTAAAAATGAGACGTATTTTGAAGCATTTGAATAGCATTTTCCATCTCTGATCTACCACAAAAAGTCGCATTTCTCGGAAAACTGAGTTTTGCGGTTTGCAGACTGCTTTTGTTTACACTTTGAATGCTCTAGCGAACGAAGTTACGTATTACGTAAAAACATTTGAGCAGTCTGGTACATTTGTTATTCTGATAAACATTTATGACGGAACTTTCACTTGGAATCGATGGAAAGCGAGCAAGACAATCGTATTTGAACTATTACGTGCACAGCGGCAAGATTCAGTGAATGTCGCCATTCATTCTCTGCGCAGACCGGTTTCCTGCATATTAATGAGTGGTGTTGAACAAATAAACAATACGTTAAACAGTCAAGTAAGGTTTCGTCCCGAACAGAGTACTACGGATATATCAGTCGCGAAGAATTATATTTAATAAGAACTGATTATTACATTTTGTTGTGGTGTTCTCTCAGTGACTTGGTTTAGGACAAACCGTGTAAATGTCTCAGAAAGAATTCATGGAACAGTAATGTGCGTCACAAATAAAATCGAGTAGGCTTAATCAGTTTCAAGCTGTTTTCTCTTAACCTTTAAACGTATTAGTTGGAGAATAATAAACAAACAGTTTATTGCGGTCATGAAACGAACTTAAGATCCATAAATACCACACGGATTGAACTTCCGTGAGATAAGAACACTGTCAGACATTAAATTTTTTATGTGGAACAGTCATGATGGATTAGCACAATATAACATTCCATGGACATCTGAGGCCGAAACGTACTCCTTCTCAGAGCAATGGTATTTTTCTAGTTTGAAGACTGATTTCATATCCCTTGAGGTATATGACCAGAGTTATTGTAAACACTATAATGTTTTTCCTTAATAGTAGCAAAAAGAGATGCCTGAGGCTTAAGGCATCAACCAACAACAAACAATAATCAGCTCACTTACTGAACTAGAAATTTTCTGGCCTAAAACAAGATCAGTGGTTGCTCTTGGACCGAGGCTCAGACCCTCAATAACTTGATGCAATGCTTAACGAAACCCAGAAAATTATTCATATATTTACTGGTGAGTTAGTGGGATAATCATGATTTGCAGTTATTAAACCAAGTTTAAAAGGGTATGTATATGTTCCCTGACCAGGGAACAAAGGCATTCAGGGCTATTTCTTTTTGTTTCAACACTTTTGAATCTACAAGAATTATCAAACTAGCTGATTTTGTCATTAGAGACAATTTCTCCAAGAGAAAATTTCCTTGTAAAATTGAATTTAGGGCAAGGATCAGTAGAAAGTGTTGATTTTCCTTTCCCTCCCCTCCTGAGTCATGAGTTTTACTCGTACAAAGAAAACTGGGCTCGAGTAGGATGACTGCAAGCAAAGATGGCGGAAAATTTCTGCCAGAACTTGTCGTGTTTGACTTAGGTGAGTGTTTTTTCTCGTCTCCTACTGTTTAAAATTATTGTCAAACAAATCTAGTTATGTCTAACAATTTAAGGGTGTAGACAAATGGGCACCCACTTGTAGTCTGTGCGTTAGTCTGGCAGTCTGTAGTATTAAAGACGTTTGTTCTGTTCGAAATACCAATATCACAATTTTTGAAGTTAGAACTATCAGTCTCATTCAAGTTCTTGTTTTGTGAAATGAAGAAATGTGATCATAGTTTTAAAATGTTTAATAAGAGCGACTTCACTGTGATAAGAACAGCACTAAATTAAGAGTCTCAACGTAAAAAAGAAATATATTGAAAACAAATTCAGCGCGTCAGTTATCTTATTTCAAGTGTCCTTCAAATGAGAAATTTCAATTATTTTAACATTCTTTTCTCTAATCAAGAAATTAATTACAAGAAACTCGGGTCGATAAAAACGTACTGAAAGTGAGAAACAAGTTCTCTGAATGAAGAAATCAGATTTTAGAGTAAACATTGGCTGGCAGGAGTTAAACTGACATGAACTGTTACCCAGCGAACCACACGCATTGAATCATGGCTAGTATGACAATTAAACCTGTAATATTTATTTAGACTGTGGAGCTCACAAGTGTTTGATTTTACAAATGGGATGATACAATATTTCCTGTGACTGAATAATTGCAAACAAGTTATTGAAATGTGCTGGAAAGGGTTTTGCTTATGGCTTAATATTTTGTAACAGATTTTACAGTGTGGCCATTTTGGGCTGACACTCATGTTTCTCCACCTTTTACAAAAAAGAGGTGAGTGTTATGTAATAGTAGGTATGCTATACTTTATATTCTTAAGCCTTTGACCCTGAAGAGTGACTGTTATCTAATTTCTCCTTACATTCTCACCCCTGAATCACACATCAAGGTCATGAGAATAAAGGAAATGATAACCAACTGAAGAAGCTCTTGATTGTTTGTAATATTATCTTTTGATGGTTTATGGATATTTTCTAGAACATCACATAGTCATCTCAACTGTACTTCTGGCTTCCTTGGTAAATTTTTTATGACGGTTTGGTCAACCATGAATTATTAATTTCTGTTTACATCATTTGCTTTAAAGTAATGGCTCAATACAGGACAGTGGTGGAAACAAGGTGAAACTGTACGATGACATGTTGGAAATTCTGAAGCATCTCAGCTCTAAAGGAGTGCGTCTTGCTGCAGCTTCTAGGTGAAGATTATATTAAGTTTTGAAGGTTACAAAATTTTAACTTAACCCTTTGCCTCCTGGCAGTGACCAAAAATAAAATAGAATTTCTCCTAAATATATTAGTTTTCATACAACAAAGATCAAGAGAATATAAGGAAACATACATTAACAAGGGTTATTTTTTATTTAAGTCCAAGCTTAATTTACAGGAGATGTGTATTAATTTAGTGCACTTAGAGCTGTTAGTGCACCACTGAAAATGTATTTCATGCCACCAATCACATTACTGACCTCTTGTGAAACATGAGCACTTTTTCAGAGGCATTAAAAAGTTATGCTCTTGAGTTGTGGTGTATTATCTATGCTTTCAGCTGTCTAGTAGCATTATTGTTGATAGCAGCATAAAACAAAACAGAAATTTTGTTTAATAGTTATATACAACATTCACTTTTAAGCCAACATGTACGAGACCCTTCCCCCCTTAAAGATTGATTGACCAATTTGATACTCTCCCCTCTTCCCCTCAATAACAAATTAAGAGTGGTGTTTTATAATTTTTGTGTGACCCTTATCTGGATTATCGCCACTTTTGTTCTGAGATAGGAAACTTGGGTCCAAGGTAGCTAAAGTCTTTGGTGTTACAGGCGTCTCTTAGCTTTAGCATTTAACCCTTTAACTCCCAAGATCTCATTAGTAATTCTCCTTACTGTCTGCTATACAATCATTCTGATGTCACATCTGAAAATTTGGTATTGGATCAAATAATAATCCCCTAATTGATACTTTTCTTGGTTCTCATTACTTGTCTCCTTGATTTTGTATTGATACTGTAGGGGGAAATTCTGTCTTGGTCACTCATGGGAGTTAAAGGGTTAAGTTATTCATATGTAGACAAATAATACTGACAATATCCCAAATGAACTATTTTGTCCTACAGAACTGAAGATCCTCCCACAGCCCAGGAATTATTGAGAATTCTTGACATAGACCAGTATTTTTCCTACAAGGAGATATATCCTGGGTCAAAACTTACTCATTTTAAAAGGTTGGTTTGTAAATCAGTAATTTTATTTTCCACCAGGGTTTATCCAGCAGCGCAATGCAAAATTTAAGTGCATGTTGCTGTAAGTGATGTTCATGGAAGTGTTCAAACTCAAGTCCGTATTTTTGTGAGAAGAAAGGGGTTCACATAAAAATAGTCTGTATTGTTTTTTTTTTCATTTTTACCAGATTTGTAGAGGCTAGTGGAATTGCATACTCTAATATGCTCTTCTTTGATGATGAAGAAAGGAATATTCATGAAGTTAGTAGATTAGGTAAGCAATTATTTGGTACTTGTGGAAGAAAAATATACCCAAATTATGGCCCAGTTGGGTGGCACAATCTTCTTTGAGACCAAGGAAGGGTTAAAAATTTCTTTGTGTGAAAACCTACCAGTAAATCTCACTTTTTGAGCTAATTACAGTTTCCATAACAACTAATGACCTGCATTTTTGCTACTTTCACTAAATTGGATGTTGCTTCATAACAGGTTACCTGCAAAATTTAGCCTGGAATGATTTCCAAAATAAGAAGCAAACATTAAGACTTTCCATTTTCCAGATATTTGAATTCTAAGACATGTTAAATTTTCTAATTATTCTTTCAGGCGTAACTTGTGTTTTGGTGAAAAGAGGAATGACCCATACTGTCTTACAAAGTGGACTTGCGCAATTTGCAGCTAAGCATAAGTGAAAATATAGTTAAGACACAAATGGTACCTTCATGAAAGAAATGATGCTATAACCTCAGCTGAAATGAAATGCAGATGCACTAATCAGCATGGTGATTGCTGTGGAAATAAGGAATCTTTATCACAATAGGGAAATTTGGGGAAATCTTTATAAGAAGCAGAACGTGCACAACAAATTTGACACAATATTTAACGATTAATATCTGCAAATGGGTTCTAAAGGTTCGTTTTCTCATCTTTTTCTTACATCATCGCTATTTTTTTTTCGTTGCTCTGCGCAATCTCATTGCAGGTCATGTACTTGAATGGGCACTCGTGCAAAAAACATATTCAAAGGCCTCTTTAACCTTTCTGTTTCTGTTCTCTGACAGTATTTGCTGTTTTTGTGAGCCATATATGTTTTTCTCTTTATTTTTCGTAGAAAGCTAACAAAAATACAGCGTGTGCAATTATTTTGATCAAATTGTTGTGACATGGTTTGAAATTTTTCCCAGTAAAAAAATTTAGAAGCCAGTTCGAGTATTCACCTATGTTCAGATTTTGAGAGTGAACTCAAGGCAAAGGAAATTTCGACAAAATATTTGTAAAGATTTCCTTTCGCCATCTCCGAGACGAGACATAGTATTCTGGAGTTCTATCTAGAAGAATGATCTCTGCCTTTTGTGTCATACTTCAGTTTCCAATCGCCCCAGATTGTCACGCCATTTCGAGACAAATCAATTATTTCTTGTAGAATTCTATCCACAGCTTTGGCGATCACCCGCTTGTAATCGTCAATCTTGCGTGATGGAAGTTCAAACCATGTGACATATCCATAGTGTGAACAGTACTTGTCCATTTCCGCCTTCCTTTTGACCATTTCTTCACTTCCTGGAAAGGAACCTTCGTTTGCATTATTATTTATCGCGATCAAAACGATTGGAACCTTAAAGCCGTTTCGTTCATAGCTAGGATTTGCTGCTTGTATGAGCTCGAAATTTTCAAGGGCGATGGAAAGCGTTGACGGCTTCTCTACATCATAGAACAGCAACGCGCCATCACATGATTTGCACAATTTGCGATTACCACAGTGAAAACGGAATCTGTCGATGAGCGAAAGCTCCCAATACTGGATCTTCAGAGTGTAAGAATGTGAATTTGACGAATTTCTCCACACTATCTCCTCCCGATGTAACCACGGGGTACAGAATGGGATTATTTTTGAAGACATAAGATTCCTTTCTTTCCACTTTGGGTCGCCTAAGATTATTATTTTCAGATGAAGCTGATCTCCATTTTCCAGAATGTTTTTCTTGAACGATTTCAACTGTATTTCTTCGCCAAGTAAGCTCAGGACTGCTTTGTTCTCTTCTTCCGGTTTCTCGTAGGACACAACACAAGTGGTCATGGTTGAAAGTAGGTATTCGAAGTTGACAATTGTGTTTTCTTAGTTTTCAAGCTGTCGAGGTTATATTCTTCTTGTTTCTATCTTAAATTGGCAGTGTGGCAGCTAGATAGAAATGTCCTTTGAGTTTCGAAACCGGCAATGCAAGATTTCGAAGATTTCATACGTGTAAGCATGTTAGGCGCCTGTCACGCACGGAAGGCGGCCGTAAGGATGATGCAACTGCATTTAGCGCCTTTTATCAATCTTAAAGCCCTTGTACATCCCAAATTAAAAGCCACAGTTTAAGAATTGTGGCAAGCGCCGCAACTCTCAAGGCTACCGTGCGCGTCACGATAAGGTGTGTGCCTAGGCTCCCCTGTGTGTTCTCATATCACAAGTTTTGTTACTGCGTCTGGCTCGTTCAGAAGCATTTCTTTCATCCTGAACCTGGCCCTTGATCTGGAAGAGGTTTTTAGAAAGTTACACGGAAGTGTGTTTGAATTCAAGAAGTTGTCTACGTTTCTAAGAAACCCGCTCTAGATGCAATTACATGAGATTTGATTACTTTTGTATATTTTATATGCTCCGTCGCGCGAAAAAAAAAAAAAAAAAAAAAAAAAAAAAAATCGGCGAAGAAAGAACTTGATGTTAGCCCGATGTTAGCCCGCTGTTAGCTAAGGCCTAACTCTTATAGTTCCGCGCGCCGCGTAACGTCAATTTTTTTTTGCGCTGTTTTCTTTTGACTTACGCGATGTTCTTCGTTGTTTACATGTTTGGTATTGGCGTGTAGTGGTGGCGAGAGAGGTATCTTTGAAACCATTCGGCAGTAAAATAAGTTAATCGGCGGAGTAATTAAAGCGTTTACACCATCACTAGTTTTATCTTTAACAGAACGAGTCACTCGATCCTTCCCCCGTTTTTGATATGTTGGACTTCCTAGAAGAGGACGATCTATCTTCTATCTTCTATCTATCCTAGTTAGGAAGATAGATATACCTTGATAGATAATTAACAACTGATGGAAATACCGTGTATAAATAAAGTTATCTTATCTTTATCTTATCTTATCTTATTCTGTAAACCAAAACTGAACCAAATTATATTTGGATACCGTCCTCATCACAAACTGATTGCATTTATAAAACTCCGCGTTTGTGAAGCCCGACCAATCCCCTTTCGTCCATATTTGATTCTGGAGTGGATTTAGCCCACGTACAGTCGTACCTTCCACCCCTAAGGAGTTTCTCGGGGGGGGGGGTAGGGAAGGGTACGGCTACATGAAGGTCAGAGCTAGAGTAGATTTAGTAGGTTCTCGTTATTAGCGCTGTACGACGCGGGAAGAAGAGAAGAGTCAGGGGGAGGTTTTCCAGGGGTCTGGCGCTAATAGTGTTAAACCCCTTCGCACACCTATTGCCGCTCGCGTTGCTCAAGGGCTGATAATTTCCCGCGGGCGAAGAAAAGCTCGCGCCTAATAATAGCCTACGTGTAGCCGCACCCTTTCACCCCCCCCCCCCAGGTTAAACGGAAGCGAGAGGGGAGGGTGCGGCTACAGGTAGGCTAGCCTAATGAGGGCGTGCTCGCAAGCTTGAGAGGAAAAACTAAGGATTTGCCTCATGCGGCACTAGAACCCTACAGAGTTAACCCAAGACCCCCCGCCCTCTCCCCTTCCCCTTAATCCTGAATTTTTGCATGAGAAATCAAAAAACAAATTTTTTTTGTTATTGTTTTAGCGGTAACCGGCTTTAGAACTACTGGGTGTTAGGGAAGATTGGAGTTAAGCAGGGCACACTCCTTTAATCTGTTTACGGATTATGGTGAGGAAATTAGATCGTTTTCACCGCATTCTACGTGCTCATGAAAACTGAAACACTGCTTAATGTCTGTCGAGCGCTGTTTACCTTCAGACAGCCAAATACTTGTTTATTTACTATCTTGTTCACGGATGTGTTTGTTTTTTCTCAATGTCAACTGATATAATCATGGAATATACTGTCTAAGTACCAAGAGGCAGCCAAGGGCACTCCAAAATTTTTTTATTCTTCTAGCGAAGTTAAGTCTCTCATTATCTTAACATTTGATTTTGAACATTACCTATAGAGAAAAAAAAATTATAAAGAGATTCTCTTTGGGGCTTAAAAGTCTAATAGAATTTTGCAAAATTATTTTAATAAATAATAAAAACCCTGAATAGGTCCCACAACATTATTTTTTGTCTTGTTTCTTAATTCAGTCGCCGAATTCAAAACTATTTCTCTTGCTGTACAATTACTGATATGGAGCGTAATATAGTAAATGTCACGAAACGATGCTACAATAACCCACGTTCACGAGTTTGATTTGCTCCAAATTATCGTTCGTTTTCCTTCAAAAAGCATGGAATGAACTTCACGCACGGTTTAAAGAGTTCGATGACAAATCGTATTTCGTGATTTTCAAGTTAGAAGCTATTTTTGGTTTTATGACTTCAGGAATTTACAGAATGAACTTCCGAATACGGTGTTTGTGAAGAAAGCCACTTAGTATCTCGTGAATGTTCACAACCGCTCAGGGTAACAATGATGTAATTGAACACCGAGACCGGAAATACTTACAAATTTGGCATGCATTCAGTATCCACACCAGAAGTTCAAACAATCGTCACGGCTTTCGGAGATTACGTTGTTTGAAAATATTTTGAACAAGACAGTCTACTGCTCTTGTCATCACGCCGGTATAACCATCTTCTTCTCTTGACACGAGCTGAAACCAACCAACGAATCCATTCCTGGCGCAAAACTCATCCAGCAGAACTTTGTTTTCGATTAATTTCCCGGGGCCGATCCAATCAACAGGTTTACCCCGTTTGGACGTTGGAATGTTTTCTATAATAAGAACCAGAGGTATATTGGCGTCTTTTGGGTTCGCTTCTTTGATCTTTTCGCCCCACTTTAAAACACTGCCAAGAGGAGATGGGCTCTTTGGTCCCCAGAACACCAATGCGCCGACGCAGTTCCTACAAAACACACTTGTCATCTTGAGAAAGCGTTCATGTTCGGCGACATCCCAAAACTGCAGTTTCACAGTGAAGTCTTGATTCGTTGTCTGGTCGCTCCATGTAATAAAATTTAAGTAAAAATCGACTCCGATCGTCGGCTTGTGATAAAAGCTTAGCGGCCGACGATGTATATAATCCGACACAAAGCCTCCCTTCTTTCCAAAGCCCGTGTAGTCTCCAACACACATTATCTTGAAAGTGAAATCCGTCTCTCTAGATTTCATTTCTTGAAAAATCTCTTCGTCTCTCCGCACAATCGCAGCATCGCTGGCCATTCCCGAGTCCGTTTCTGTGGCCATAAAACTTTCACTTCGCTGAAGCTCAGTATCCGACATATTATATACTTTCCCGTTCTTAAGAGAGATCTTTATCAAACATCAACCACGCAATGTAGTGTGCAACTTGTATCGCAGTTAACAAATGGACTGAAACGTTCTGCGATGACGGAAATCTGATACTACAGGAATTGTGTGTCACGTCTCGAATTCATGCCCTTCATCACCTTCTTTAGATATCATTCTTATATCACCATAAAAGTCAAACATTGCCGACTTATTAAAGATATTTGGTCTCTATGAATCGCGTTTTAAAATAATTTCGCGTGTTGCAAGGAAGAACCCAGCTAAATGTTCAAGAACGCGTATCAATGCAACTCTGCAATTCTACACGCAACAGCACTTGAAATTTTGTGAGGCTTTCAAAGCAGAAACCCTTGAATCGTAAACACTAAATATTTAATATACGTGGAGGTGTTTATGGCACACGTCCAAGAATTGATATTTAACGAGACGCTCTCGTTTCCAAGAAACCATGCGCTGTTAAGCCTTCCTCTCATTGTGTTTCAGAAAATCCGTCGATAATCGGAAGAAAATCCGACGATAAGTAATGTTTTGAAATCTTTCTATTAAAAATAATTCAATTCATACTTCATTTTTTTTTTCTTTCAACGTGCAAATAATTTTTATTTCATCTCAAATTGTTTAATGTTTTTCCGATCTTCTGTTAAAATGTTTACACAAAATATAACAGGTACTTAAATGAAAAACGTTCATTGTCGAAGATCAATTTTATCCCTAGTGGAAAATTTTGAAATGTATCGCGATCCGTAGGAGTCGAGAGTTATTAACGATATCCTTTCCCGTACGGAATATTAAAAATTCCAACACTTTTTTAAAATGTAGGCGTTGTAGTTCCGTCGGCATAATACCGTCGCAGAGACCAAATATTACCGGTTATGAAATGATATGAATAAGCATATTGCTTGACGATGACAGATTACATCCCAAAGTAAAATTACATTGTTGACGTCTTTTTTGTCAGAATCTTATTTTTTTTTCTTTATCTTACATCATCATTCCGATTTTATGACTCGCTCTGCTTTCGACTAGAAAATATTTTTGAAAAATTCAAATGTCTTTCCACGTTCCACCAAGTTCCTCATTGTTTGAAAAATTTTACAAGTGTATAATTATCGCACAGAGAAAAAAGGAAAGAAGACTTTCTAGCGTCGACAGCCAAGTAAATCAATTTGCTAAGGGCAATACATGATTTGATGGAACACAGCAGCCCATTACTTGAGTAATGGGCTCCTGTGGCACATCATTCGCGTCATCTATTGACCCACAATTTGCGTGCAATTATTTCAAGACTTTTCCAGACATTTTCTTTATTACCATCATGTCCATTTCTCTGTCTGTGCTTGCAAAAAAACTTTAGGCTAATCCAATTTCCTTAAAAACTTAAGTACCTTTTTCAGACTAATTTCTGTTTTCTTTATTCGACGACGGAACTAAAATTTACCATCGTTCTCTCACTCTATAAACACACTTCGTGATTTCAACTTAGCTGATCTTAGCATTATTAAGAATGCTGGCCATGCATGAAGCTAATAGTGACTTGGTTCACCACAGAATTCCCTGAAGCTCGTTGGCAGGGCCTCAAAGCCAAATATCTGGAAGTCTGAGATTTGATTCCACGTAGAAGACCCAGACGATGTCCCTTCCACGCTCTTGGCAACCAACACTCTAAAATTTCCTTTATACTAGCCTGCAGAGCAGGCGTAATTTTAGCGAGCGAGTGCCCTGTATTTTTCGAGGTGAAAATTATAGCTGCCCTCTTTGATATCTACAGCTGTAAAAGGCTGGGCAGAGTAAGAAATTTGTACCAAGGGAACGAGCGACGGTCACTGAGAAAGGAGAGGGAAGGGGGTGGGCCTTTCCCTTCCCCCTCCCCTCACCGTTTACTCTTACTCTTATCAAACATGACCCGCCCAATCCGATAAACGATCACAAGCTTGCAAAATTAACACGCTCCAGTAAGACGTCTACACTACAGGCTTCCTTTTTTTTCTCGATTCACGATTTTTTTCAAATCTTTCTCCCTGTCTCATTTTTTTTTTGTAGGGTTTTAGAAATTAGTCAGTTTAGTGTACATATTCCCATTCTTTTCAACAATTCAATAGAATATGAAAGATGATAGATTTTGAGCTCGTTGTTATAAAGAAAAAGGTCTTTTCGTCTTGTCACGATCGTGGGAAAAACAAAAACAAAATCCTGAGCACCCATGAGGAATCGAACCTCAGACCTTCGGAGCATCAGAACGCGAAAGGGAAAGGTCTAACTCTAAATGAGTACGGGCTTCAATTCTTTGCAGGTGCAAACTGTGCACAACATGTTCTTTAATACAGTGGGTAAGGACAAGTGTTTCTTAATGTTTTTGGGGCATTTGCATCTGAACCTTAAAAAAAATTTATGTGCGAACCATTTTTTTTTAGTTTTGACGGATCTAGACCTGATTTTTCGTCCGTGTAAACAGTCTTTCAGGGACAATTCCTCACGGGAATACCGACTTTGATATTTGTACCACGCTCCTGACAAGACGAAAAAATATCTCACTCCCTACGGAACCTGTGTAATAGGAAACTAAGCACTCAGTGAACCATTATTTACGGAAAGGTACCTTACCTGTCCCTATAGCTTTAGTTCTACTGTCATAGCACACAGGCTGTCACCCTGACGATTGCGGAGAATGTTGGGAAGAACGCAGAAACCTTCGCACTTCCTTTATGCGATGCGCTCCGATCAAATCTTTCTCACGATCGACCTACAACTTGTAACTAAACCTTAGCTGAAAACATTGGTCTTTGGCGTCATTTTGGAAAGAAATTTTTAATTCATACAAAAAAAGTTTTTGTTCCTTTTTGTAATATTTCCAGCAGTCTGCGTAACTGGCGTTTCTGTGTGTGCTTTGAAGCGTTTAGCGGTTTTGCCAAGGGAGGCTTTGTACGGTTTCTCCACTCAAATTTCGCGGTTGCGCTGTGTAGATTTTCCCAAAGCGCCAAACAAAAAAAATAATTAAATAAATAAAAAATAAAAAATAAAAAAACGGCGCCGGTAACGCAGGCTAATTCGGTACTAATCCCGGCAGAATACTACAATAGAATTTCCTATTTAGAAATTCCATGTCCTTACTTTATCATCATGTCATATATTCTAAGCTGGAATTTAAGAAAAACTTTAACCTATCATATGTATTTAAATACTGACTTGGTTGAAATTACACTGTTCTCTTACAAACTCGCATTGATTTATGAATGAAAATGTAAGCTCTTATTTTGCCAATACCCTTACTCAATTATTTCTTAACCTGTCATTGTTACATACAACGTCCCTTTTAACAAATACGGTTATAGACCACGGTAATGATTTGATTTATAATTAAGAACTATTATTCTAGTGTTCTCCAAATGTTGATAAACTTAGAATATTTCTGTAGCATTAAAACATGATTTTCTGATGGGTGACTTTTTTCCACCAGAGATAAGAAAAAGTAACCTGATTCTGTACTCTAGACAGCTCATAAATTCTTGCTTTTTTCTCATCTTGTTTTAATTTTCTTGTTCTATCTTTATCTGTCTGTCGTATGGCTTGTGCTGTCATCTGTGGGCTTGTCCGGCGAGGAATTATCCGTCGCAGATTTTTGAGTATCGTCACCTTCGACCGACAGTTCCTCTGTTGTTACTTGACCAAGGAAGTCACTTGTTTTGAACACAGCTGGTGCTTTCCAGTCTGAGAAATTTTTCTCTTGCTTTGTAGGACCCTGAGTCATCTGAAGACGAAAAGGCAAAACAGAAGCTTACCCTGCTGACTTGACGGAATTTTTTTCTTTTGTTGTTTTGAAGGGGGGGAGGGGGGGGCGAGGGGCAAGCGCAAGGTGAATGTGAGCGTTAAGCCCCGATCAAACAATAATAATAGTTGATAATTGCCGACGCTAGTTTCAACATTTAATCACTATCATTGACTCTCATGTTTGCATTCTAACGGTTAATGATAGTTGACAAAATCACGCTACAAGATCGCGTAGCTGTAAAAAAAGTTTAGCGCGCGCTGAGGTCTGCAATTTTGATGGCATTTGGAATTTTAGTCAAGAAGTTGTGAGTTGAAGATACTGAAGCCTGCCAGGAGACGATAAGAATGAACTGCTGGACATTCTGCGCAATTTTGAGGGCTACTTTAGTCATTTTACCACCTGCCATTTCGGTTTGAACCCGTTTTTGGCAAAACTGCTGACTAAAAAACAATCGTGCAGTCTCATCAACTCTCATGTCGAATTTTAATATGTTCAAACCAAATGATAGTTGATGATACTCGATGATAGTGTATGACAGTTTGTGTTCAAAGGCGCGTGATAGTTGAAACTATCATCAACTATCGTGACCGTTTGAATAGGGTTTAAGAAGAATAGCTCCTCCTCTCGGGGGTGAACGGCGCTCGTCTTCGCCTAACCTGCGATGGGGCTTTGTCTTTTCGGGATTGGGAAAAGAATGCTTGATCGCAGGTCAGTCTACGCCCATCTGGCGAAAGGCAAGCGGAGACAAGCACGAGGTGAGCGCGAGATGAACACCGAGGGTGAGTGTTTACATATATTGGCATGCCTTGTCATAGAATACATTCAGCTTCAAACTCACCTGTCTAAGTCCTGGTATGGATTTTAGGACTTTTTGAATTTTATGACTTCCAAGTTCCCTTTCCGCTGTTGACACACTTTCCTCCATTTCATCCACGTTTTTCTTGACTGCATTTACAAAAGCCTTGGTAGGACACATCAAACAAGGTTTAGTACAGACTGAATGCACACAGGTTACAGGTTCACCTCTCTTGTAAAGTGATCCATCTGGACAGAGGTTATTTTGGTTTGGACAGCATGAAGTGACTGAGAGTATCACTAATCCCCCCCAAATGGGCTGCTAGTCCGTCAGAAGTTACCCACAAGTATTTCTATCCCTCCCCTGATGGGATGCCAGTCCATCACAGGTTACCAATCAACATTGTGTTAATTTTTCTTAATATAACGAAAGTCTGAGCATTCACTTTCCACATGATAAATAATCATTGACAAGGCAAACCCTAAGAAAAACTAAAATGTGGAAAAATATTTTAATTTATATTTTTCAAAATATTACTCTTCACAACAGCACCATAAGGAAGGTTAAATCTTTAACTCCCATAAGTGACCAAGACAGAATTTCATTAGCAATACAATATTGAGAAAAGTGATGAGAATAAAGAAAAATATAAATTGAGGAATTAATAGCTGATTGATCCAATACCAAATTCTTCAAACTTTCATCATAAGAATTGTATGGCAGATGGTTAGGAGAATTACTAATGAGATCTTGGGAGTAAAAGGGTTAAAAGTTCTGCATGTATGATACAATTTGTCTATACCTCTAGTTGATCAATCTTTCTGAAGATTGTTGGAAGTTCCTGAGATCTTTCATAAAGTTGTGGAATAATTTCTATCAAGGATTGTGAGGAATCATTGCGTATCTGTATGTAAAGAAAAATTAATACAAAGAGATCTTCTTAAAATAAGTTTTTTTAATAACTATCATATCATTAATTGCAAGTAAGCCATCTACAGTTCTTATAAGTGCCACTAATAGAAGTAAAGTGTAACCAATATTTGTGTAGTAATAAAGATAAATTATTGCATGTAGGGATGTTACAACATAGAATCCAGTACAAATAAGTCATAAAAAAGCAAATTAAAGCTATAATTTAATGTAATTACAGAGAGAAAGGTACTAGTGCTATAAGTAAATGTTAAATGATTAAAAACAACAATCAAATCATTATCATAGGACAAGAGAAAAAAACAGTTCATGAAACTTTTTTTAATTGGTACAACAACCTGAATGGAAGAGTCAGCAATTTCATGATAAAAACTAAATCACACAGGTCTTTTCAAGGATGCACTAAATCACTCATCAAAATATTTTCTTAACCAACAATTTCTGGAAAATTGCTTGCCTAGTTAATTGACATAAAAAAACAAGTTTGAGTTGAAAGCTTGAAAGGTTTGAACTGGCAATTTACATGTGCGTATTAACACATAACTATTGATGAAGATGTGCCAATTTATGTCACTTGGAGATGAGAAAAGGACATGTCTGTGTGGGCTTTGGTAATGGATACCAAATAAAACCCTGAAACTAACTACTTTCCATACATACACCGAGTTTAAGAACAACCAACTAGCGGGCACCTTCTGCAGTTCCTTTGCATTAATTACCCACAGATCTTCTTTGGGTATTTCTAATAATCCTTCCCAACTAGGAAGGGTTCCAAAAATTGCACGATCACTCAATAAGCTCGTGCGTGTGCGTTGTACATAAGGGTGTCAGCAAGACAATTCTCACATAACGATCATGGAAGAGTCGAGCAGCCCCCGATAAGGACGTCAACACCCAGATTGTAAATTAAAGAAAATATGACTGCTCAAAAGCACCAACCATGTGGGACGAAAAAAGTCCATTAACATCGAAACATGAAAGGACATGAAGCTTTGAACTGTTAAAACCTTTGAAAACGTGATTTCTTCTGAGATCGGACTTTTTACTCCGAAAGAATAATCAAGAAAAGAAAAAATACAGTTAAAGAAAAATGGAAACACATTCTAATTCCCTAACAGTCATGCGCCTCAGAAGAAACAATATTCTGTGAATATATTACACAGACAAATGAGCACCCCCTAGGAAGAAAGCTTACGGAAAATAACAAACATTTTCAGACCACTTACCGAGTCAGCTAGATGAGAAAATTCGTCCAAACGAACAAGCATATCCTCGATGGTTTCCTCGATAACTTTAGACTAAAAATAGATCAATACATATGTGGTAAGATCCAAATTCTCTCTTGTCACACAATCTCTAGGAGACCAGAAATTATCTCTTTCAAATATTTCACAAACTGAGTCATCAGTGGGTACGATACCTCATTCTTTACATCAACTTGACAATATTGCGCAAATTCTGCAGCACATTTCCCCACATCAAGCTCTACTTCGTCCTCTCTTTTCTCGATTTCTGAGGGAGCTTTTTCTTCAACATCCGCCATTTTAAAATTGAAAGGTCGGATTATGAGCCGAATTCACCTTGACCAGCGGAAGCCGGAGGGAGGGAAACGTTGAAAAGCGTTTCTGCTAGCAGTTGTAGTTTCAAAAGGTGGCAAGTTTCAATCTGCGTAAACCGCGAACATCTTTACCGCCAAAATGGTATGTAGAACTCTTTAAGTCTCCTTCATGATCCTCTTTCGGCTAGGTCTCATTATTTTTACATCTTTTCTTCAGACGGTGGGAAAGAGTTCGAAGATGCTTCAGCATATCAACTACCGAATGCGGTGCACATTGCAAGATGGCCGCAGTTTTATAGGAACATTTTTAGCTTTTGACAAGCATATGAACATTATTTTAGGAGATTGTGATGAATTTAGGAAAATAAAACCTAAGAGTAGCAAAGCACCGGAACGCGAGGAAAAAAGAGTTCTTGGTTTGGTTTTATTGCGAGGAGAGCACCTTGTTTCATTGACAGTCGAAGGACCTCCATCATCAGATGTAAGTTGAGTTTATTGATTTACCTCATGTGATTAAGTAAAAATTAATGTTAAAGAAGATTTGTTATCTTGAAAAGTTCATATTAGGACACAACACAATTCCATAACTGATGTTAACTTGCAGTAGGGTGATTAAATTAATTTTGTGATTGATGATGTGATGCAAAGAATTCACCTCTAGAATTGCACAGTCTGCTGAGTATGGCAGAACTTGACAAGATCTTGTGCCTGCAAAGGGGATTCTTCTATGTGAGATGTATGGTTAGAAAGGAATAAATTACATGTGCATCTGCCATACCCAGCAGACGGGAGAACTGAGTTAGGGTTAGGAGAATTGCACACAAGGCTTTAAACCAGGTTCATATACAATAACCCACCTACATATTACAAGAAAATGCAATGTCAAGAGCTTTTCATTCTTTGTTTGAAATAGTGAGCTTAAGTATTAAATGAAGAGAGGACAAAAAAGTATGATAAAAACAATAGATTGCCTTAGGGAAAACAGATTTGTTTTTAGGGCTGTGTGGAAATTTTACCAAAAAAGCAACATATTTAGCAATCAACCACTAAACTCAAGTTTATCATCTTTTTTTGACTGACTTTCTGACTCATGAACTGAACAGTGAGGAAGTCAATTGTGATTCATTAGTTTCAATATGTTAGTGAATTTGGCCTCTGTTTGTTACCTTGCTGGTTTTGTAATGATACCGGGAAGGGTTTTTTACCTTAACACAGGGTTAAATGAGTTGTATATTAAGTCTCCGCAAAATCATGTTTAACTTTCAACCACTTGTTGACCTCTGAAGATATTTTTTCCTGTTTGTTTAGTCAAAATCCAAACTGCTAGGGGCCAATGCTGCTCCTGGCACCGGAATGGGTCGTGCAGCTGGACGCGGAGTGCCTGCTCCTTTAGCACCAACAATTGCTGCACCACCAGGTTTGTGTTTTTTCTGATTAAGTTGTTGTTGAGCAGGGGATCTCTGATGAGTTACAGAGTGATCTGCATCATCTGCCTTCTGTCTTTCTCTCTGAATCTCTTTCTTAAGTAGGACAGTAGACTCAGTGATGTTGAGATGTGCCCATTAAATTTTCTAATATAATTATAGTCTTATTACCCTCAGGAGCTAGCACCATGCAATTTTCTCATACTCCGACCACACAGGGCTGAAAGAAAAGTGAAGAGGAAAGAAAGAAAGGAAAATGTCCATCAGAATATATAGTCTGTGCTAAAATAAAAGATTGTTCAGGGCGTGAAATTAATCTTTTTTCTGATAGCCACTTGGCTCCTAAATTCTTCATCTGGTAGCCAAGTGAAGAAAAGTTGGTCGCCATTTTCAAAGACAAACAAAAACCTTCTATTAAGCTGTCAGCGTTCTAGATAGACCCTCCATAATTAAGTTTGGGAAAAGATCTTTAATGTGCTACAAAGTTGACACTAGGATGGAGGATATACAACATTAAAGCTCCCTTAAATCCAAGGTGGCGTCTAGTTATCGATTGAGATGCATGTGTTGCGTTTTGGAAACAAACTTAATGAGGAAGTTTGCTGTGGATTCATCTTTGCAAATCTTTTTAATTCACTATATGTCTAGGTAAGGTTATGATGAATTTTGAATTTGGCGACTAATTTCCAGGATTTGGCCACCAAAGTGAAAAATTTAGTTGCATTGGCGCCTGTATTAGGCACAATTTCACGCCCTGTAGTTTGACAGCTTGTTTGGAAAACTGTTTTTAAGAATTTACAACTGAAAGGGTTATTCTACATTGCAGGACTTGCTGGACCTGTGAGAGGAGTGGGTGGACCAGCAGCTCAACTTATGACCCCACAGGGAAGAGGTGCACCTGGTGGTATGTGTTATATTTTGAAGTTTGTACAGTTCAGGTAGTCTGGTTTAGAGTCCAGAGGATAAGAAGCAACACCAAGGTCAAGCAGCTAGTTTCCTCAGCAGGATTTTGTGAGGGAGAGTTTCAGGGTAAATGCTCACAAAAAAATGGGGTCTGGAAGGAATTAATGAATCTTAATTAGCCATAACTGCATTGCATGCATAAACAGGAACAGTAAAGTCAAGTATTGCTCTCAACTTTCCTATCTATAGTTCTTGATCTTAGCTCAATGTTGCAGTTTCTTTTTATCCCTGGCTTAATTGTCTGACTGAAGTAATTTTAAATTTGGATTTAATGCTCCTTTCTTGTATTAATTGTTGCACTCTATTTTTGCAGGTGGTCCACCACAACAAAACCCACCAGCGTCAGTACCCAGTTCAATGCCTGGTCCCCCAGGGGGGGCAATGGGAGCACCAATGAGAGGTCCACCCCCACCCAGACCACCTATGGGGGGAGTGCCTCCAGGAGGTATGTATTATTGGATAAGTAGGGGAAAACTGGAATAACTTAAGTACTAAATGTTCTTGTTTCCTTTTGGGTAGAAGCTGTTAGGCATGTTCCTCTAAACCTTTTCAGTCCCATGAGTGACTAAGACAGAATTTCTCCTTTCAATATCAATACAGTATCAAGCAGACAAGTGATGATAATGAAAAAATATTAGTAAGGGGATTATAAGTTGATCCAATACCAAATTCTTCAAGCTAACATCACAAGAACTGTAAGGAGAATAATATTACTAATGAATAACAGAAAGGGGAATTACTGATGAGGTCTTGGGAGTTATAGGGTTAACTGTTCAGTTTGCCTCTTTCTCAAAGAGCTGTCTGTCAGTCATTTTTTTACAAATGAAAATTCCATTGTGTGTATGTGTATGTATGTATATTATTCCAAATCCTGTGCTAATTTTTTATTCCTGTTATTGATTTACTTCTTTGATTTCCAGGCCCTCCAGGAATGCCCATGAGAGGTCCTCCTCCAGGTATGCGGCCTCCAGACATGGGTCCTCCTGGAAGGGGCATGATGCCTCCTGGTATGCCTCCCCCTGGCATGATGCCACCAGGGATGAGAGGGCCCCCTGGGAGAATGCCACCACCAGGTCTTATGGGTAGAGGTAAGGAACTCAACTTTGATAAGTATAGTTGTAGTGCTTTTTTTTCCCAGCTTAAACTCTCAGAGGCAATCTACATGTAACATCTCCTCACACTGTGAATACTTTATTAGCAAATATGTTGTTGAAATAGACAAACTTATCAGATGGTGGGTGTTATTTTGATGAATTGCCCAATTCTCCTAACATACTCATGCAGAATTGTATGACCACCGGAAGGAAGAATGATGAGTTAATTTTGAGAGTTAGTGGGTAGATAAGTCACTCAGTCCCCTTCACTGACCAACTGTTGGTAATGAAGTTTTTCTACATGATACATTTATAGGTATTTTAGGTTACCAATATTCTGATTGAGCCAGAAGATTTATTGTGATCCAGTTTGTAATTGTGTACACAGTTTTCATGAAGAAATAGTAGAAGTAGAATAGTGTTAAGTAATTGTAATGTTCTTCACCAGAACAATTCTCCAATAAAAAGTATTTTTGGATTTTAGATAAAGGTTTTGTTGCCCCATACTTGTATAACACCAGTTTTTCTTAACTTTTTTTAACTTAACCCTTAAAATTTCTCTGTTCAATATCACCCCTGAATCAAGCTCAAGGTCACAAGTGTGAATGAAGTAATCACTAACTAAACAAGCCCTTGATTGCTAAACAAATTCTCTTTTTCAGCACCAAGTAGGAAATGTATAGTAAATAGTATGGAGAATTTTCATACTGATGTTAGGATGTAAATGGTTAAAGTCATTAACTAATATGTATTTGTATTCCTACTAGGTCCACCTCCTGGAATGCGACCACCACCACGTTAAAGTGAAATATTTAAAGTTTGTTGCATCAGCTGTAGTTAAAAAAAAAATTAAAGAACCATGTTGACCATCTGAGATAAGAACCTTGGGCAAGAGGCATAATTGATGTTGCTTGACCACTTCGTTGGAGATGAGTCTTAGGGCACCCACTTCACAACATCAAAGGAATTTTTCGTTCAATTCTTTGTTACTTTTGTAAATATTTGAATTTTGAGTACTTTCGTAGTATTAAAGTGTCCTCAATCCAAATGATTTTTGTCAAATGTACTAATTCAATATTGTTATGACATTTTTATCGACACCACTAGTTCAAAATACACTTTATCTCTTCCTAGATCGAAAATTTGAAACCACGATTGTTTAAGGGTGCTTGTCATTAGCCAGAACCGACAGTCATAACATTCAACTCATGACTGTGAGTTTTAAACTTTTAACAATAAATCGATTTTTTCAAGTAATGCTGATCAATAATGAATGAATTGTAACGAAAGGAAGAAAGAATGAGATGAATACTTGGTCAGTTCTGACTATTGAAAAGCCCCCTTGAGTTTTAGGGTGCTAAATCTGCCAGTCATCAAGCAGATTCTACCAAATTAATCTCATCTATGGTTCGTTCCATATTATGTTGATCCTGGAAAGAAGACCAGTTTTACTATTCCTCGCAAATCATTTAGGGTGCTAAATCTGCCAGTCATCAAGCAGATTCTACCAAATTAATCTCATCCATCAAGCAAGTTATGGCTTGCTCGAAAACCTGCCCGTCCCAGTCACGCGCTTTCATCTCGTACCACGAAATGAAACCCATCTCGCGACAAAACCGCTGCAGAGTTGTCACGCTATCAAACATCTTTCCACTTCCTATCCAATCCAAATTGTTCGAATTAAACGTTATAAGCACGAAAGGAACTCGCGAATTTGCAAGCTTGTTAATTGATTTAACCCATTTTTTGACCTCTCCTAATGATGCCGGATATTCAGGCGTCCAAAACACTATACTTCCGTGACAAGAGTCAAAATTGAATCCCTTGTAAACTTCAGGATCGATTTCGTAAATGGCTGCCGATGATTGTTCCTTATTTTCCGATGACAATTTGATCTTCTTTAAATGGATATCCATGCATACGGTCGGTAAACGAGACCCTTTAGGAGGCGTGCGGCAGAAATGCTCGTTCACGAATAGATTTTCTTTTCCTGTGAGAGTTCCAACACACAGCAGTACCACTGCTTTGTCTTGTTTAGTAGAACTTTCACTTTCGGGAGCAAGGTTCGTTTTAAATGTCTGCATCTCCACATCTTTGCCCAATGTCGCCAAAAATTTTTCGTCGACTGCTTCCGGAATTTCGTACTTGGAACCTGTAGCTGTCATCGTGCCGGAACGAAGATGAAAGTCTTCATAAAATTTTCTCTGAATTAAATTAGCCCAATTTCACTTTCGGGGTTGAAGTTACGCTTCCGTTTATCCATTCAGAGACTATCATTGATTTTAGAAATTATCGAAAATAGTCTTATATCACTGAAACAAACCAGAGATGCTTTGCAGTTATATATCAAGGAAAGTAAATCCAGAGATGAGTCACGAGACCATCATAACATGTCACAGTCACCCCAGGTATGGCTGTGGTTGTCAGCCGTGTTTTGGTCTCATCACGCAACGCGTTCTTCTTTCTCCATTTCCAAATAAAGGGACATATAGTCTCTTCGCAGCTATTTCTTTGGATGTGAAGTAACGCGTGAAGGAGACTAGGGAACAAGTGGCTTACCAGAGAGTCTCTTCTGCTGAGTCTGCGTCGAGATTTCAAGGATGTCGGGCTTTGAGTAGGAGTCCTCTTCCATCCTCATTAATAAATATGCCGCAGAATTCCGACGGGTGTAGAAACGTAACCCTGTTCACTGGAAGCTAGTTACGTAATATTATCCTAAGTTTCACATGCAATATCTCCAGATTTAATGATCCCGCTGCCTAGATTTTTAGCATTTCGAAAATTGATATTCAAGCCGCCATGTTGTAAGGAATTTTCGGCCCTCCCACCTCCCCTTGGGTGGTGCAGCTTGCGCTTTCGCACCAAGTTGCTAATTGTCTCGGCCACAAGAAGTAGTGCATGAAGATGGATCACTTCCTCTTCAGGAGAGGACACATGCAGGCAAGAAGCTGGATGAGCCTTGCAGATGGAAGCTTCTTAAAGGGCTAAAGGCTTGTCATTAATTTTCGTCAGAATTGTCGTTCAGTTAGAAAGTGATACGAAAATACAGCCAATAAATTGGGGCCGCACTGATTGATGGATTCCCTACATGGAGCAATAAGCAAGAGGTGTTAGTATTTTCGCTTTCATGACGCAAATTAAATTAAATTTGTCTCATACTGTTTCATACAGAACTGTGAGTTAAAGCAGTGAGTCCTCTGTGTTTTTCTTTATGTTTAAATAATGTACCCTTGATTTTATTTATCGTTGCGCTAAAATCAATTCGTTAATTATTCTTTAAACCTCTTAGTGCACTTGTCAGATTCGTTCCTCGACCCCAGTACTTTTCTTCCGCAGGCCCCCAGAGATTGAGATTCTTGAATCTATGCGCAATCGGCAGAGTAAAGCAAAGCAGAACTGTGAAGCAGCTTCTTCTATACATTTAAAGGTTAGTCTTTTCACCTTCTGTTACTATAAATGTTTAGCTTTGTATATCTCAACCTGGTACTTGTTGTGACAAGACAAGAAATCGGATCAAGAGAGATGGTCCCTGAGTCGCCATTTTGATGCCGAAATAGCGCGTGCTTTCGCTTGAAACTTTTATGGCATTTACCAAATTCCCGGTGGGCGGCTACGGTCTTGAATAGACTTTCATGAACGTAATAAATTGTTTGGCAGTCAGTTATTTTCACTTAATTTCCACTGAAAGGTTCTTGGTATTTTGAAACTTCTTAGGATGTATCGGATTGTAAGCCCTCGTGACAGAATGTATGAAAGCGAGGAGAGCCAGAAAAGGCAGGAAGTCAGGTCACCAGAAGTGGAGAGGTAGTTCACAATCGCAGTGTAACCGGAAAAGTGTTGAAAGAACTTAAGGTAAGTCAAAGTGAATTGCTTTATATGTATGTGAATTTTTGGCCTTTGGCCAAGGGCGGTACTCAAAACAGAGGTCATGGTTTTTGGAAATACATAGGACCTAGGCTGGTGAAGAACTTTTTTATTTGTTTCCTCAACTGTATGAAATACTGGCTGAAAAGATTGGGAATGATTTAGGGCTATAATTACAGCAAGATTTTCCATGAACTGAGCAACTTTTTAACAAATAGACAGTAAAACAGAGGTAACTTGAATTAAACAATGGCATCACAGAAACTTTTTTTTTTTTGCAATTTAAAAGGCTTCCATGCAAACTTTGAAACACTTTTTATGTAGGTCACAATCTGACACCTGTCAATTAGAGAGCAAAAAAAAGTGCATGAACAACAGTTTGCAAACAGACTTGAGTTAATGTCTATCACTATCTCCATTCTAATGGTCAATAGTCTTATGGAAAGTATTATTCACCTCCATTGACAATAAATCTCCAAAGATTTACCTTTGTTCAGTTTGAAATGGCTAGGAAAGTCTTTGTAAAGTAAACTCAAATGTATGTGTAGAAGTTGTGAGAGTTGTTTGTTCATTTGCTGAAATGGTGTGTGCAAATCTTGTCTTTCTTCCTTCATAAACTGAAGTCAAATGAGATACTTTTCCTAGTTAGATGTAAGGGAGATTTAATGTTGCTTTTACTTAAGAAATTTTTTTTTTCTTTTGTACAATTTACAATAGAAAATGTAAATGTAATGATCATAATTAACTTAATTTTGCCAATACATATCAGAGGCTGGAGGCTGGTGCAAGGTGCAGATAGATAGATAGATAGATAGATAGACTGTTTATTCACAAATACATCGCAGTCATTAGACTGAATTGCTTATTTCACAGAGAAATATATAAATAGGCAAATGTTAAAACTAATCACAAACATATGTACATGATATAAAAATATAAGTATCTAATGGGATTAAAATATGTATGGTTACTAGCTAAGTACTACGCGTTGTTTGTTGCTAGGCATCTTTGGACATTGCATACACAAAGGACTGTCTAAAGCGGTCTGTGCACGAGCGTGGTAGATTATATGTTCTCTGTTGTCACAGGCAGTAGCTTTGTTCATTTCTTGGGGGCAGTAAGTTGTGTAGTTTATGCCCCGAGTTGTTGGCGATTGAATCAAAGAGTCATTTACATAGTTCATTGCGTCTCTCTTTTAGTGTTGGCAGGCCTAGTCTGTCCAAGCAGTCCTGATATGACATATCTGGGAGAATTATGGAAAGAACTCTTGCATAAAGAGTAATTGGATCATAGTTTGTAAGGTTAGGTTGTTAGTAGGGTGAGGCATTTTGCGGTCAGCCTTCATTGTGTTAAGTTGTTTTGTTTCATTTTTGTTTGAGCTTATTATTATTTTTTACCTAAAATATCATATTTGCATCAGGTTTTACTTAGAGCTGTACTCCCATACTTCCTCAAGTAGCTGTTATCTACTTGCCTTGGGTTATATATCTTCAGCTTAGGTAAGACTGTTTCCTCTCTCAACATAACTAAATCTGGTAAGAACAATTCCAGACAACAACTGACCACAAGGATTTCCTAATAATGATTTATTGTAAAAATAATGATAAAAGAAATGGAGTTTGAAACAACATTCTGATCATATTTGGGGCATTGCACAGTTAATTTCAAATAGATTATTTCAATGAGATTGTGTTGAGCATGGGATGTTTGCTGCCCATGCTTCATCTTTTTCTATTTTTACAATGGCAACATCTTTTGTGGTCTATACAACAAAAAGACATAATTTTCTATGCGAGAAGTACATCTCCCCCCTGTATTTGGTGCCAATACATATGGTCTTTCATAAGTTCATAGCCTAGCTCACTCCCACCATGCTGCTGACTTAACAGCCTCTTCTATTGAGACATTTCTTTCTGTATATTGGCACTTCACTTCCAGAACAATTTTATTATCAACACCATCCTGAGATGTCCCAAGGATTCCAAGGGGAATGGAACCAGATGCCTGTTTCTTTGACTGTCTTACCAGTTCTGAGGGTGAATGCTTTGAAAGTTTTCTCTTCATTGTCCACCCCCCACTGCACTGTTTTGACTCTTGATAAGTTGTACTCTCCTAGGAGTGGCTTCAGAGGGGATGGAGTCATTCTAATTATCTTTAGGACAGAGCCCAAATTACTGGTTGTAAGTTGACCCTTTCTTGTGATGTGCTAAGCAGGATTGTCTCTTTGGCCAACTGTTGGTGGCTGATCCTGAAAATTTCATCTTCATCTTATTTAGTTATGCGAATCAAACAGTCCAGCTGTTGTTGGATCCCTCTAGCCTGAGGAAATTCCTCAGAGACCATAATTTCCTCAATAGAAGGCATGGGTAGCATGCTGACTTTAAGAGGCTTAGGGCTGAGCAGCCAACAAAGTTCAGTAAACCTTCCATATTTTTTGAGGTCCTCATACAGTGCAGCTTAATCATCATGTGTTAGCTTCATTAACAAAGTGCAGTAGCCCTAGGCAGAGTAAATAGTTGAGAAACCACTTGATTTGAAAGTGATTGGTCGCACTCTCTTCTCTTCCACCATCAATGACTGATAGAAACGGCTTGATAATTCTTTATTTTGACCAATAGAAAAGAGAAATGTATACTGTCATGTGTCATTTGGTGTAACAACACAGGGGAGAGATCAAAATGGTGATTAACATGTTTGTAAGTTAATCACTCACTAATGATAATCTTAGGAAGGTTTCCTTAAAAAGAAGCCCCCACCCCAGCTTTTAAAATGAAACCATAAAACAAAACCATTAAATAAAGGTAAGGTTGTAATTATGCGTTTTCTTTATTTGAAAGCACATTTTTAGAAAAAAATAAATTCATCTGTGAATGAATGGAAACTTTATTTAAAACACGGTAAAATATCAGTATGACAATAGAAAACAAAGGAGAAATTTATCTTAAGTAAAATTTTTTATTAACTGGTTTACATATTTGCCATGTGGGAGTCCAATACAGAGAGCCATTTATCAATTCTTCTCTTGAAGTTGCGTAGAGATTTTGTAGTGCGTATATCCTCAGGAAGATCATTCCAAAGAGAAGCTCCGCTATAACTGAAGCTATGCTTCAGATAGTCAGTTCTTGGTTTCTGCAAGTACAATTTTTGACTTGCGTCACGAAGATCAAAGGGCAGAGTTCTCATAGTGAACATGTTACAAAGATAATTTGGGGCGAGCTTATTAACGCATTTGTACATTAAATTTGCCTTTTGCTTCGTCCTTCTGACTGATAAGTTATCCCAGCTGAGAGAGTTGAGAAGATAGCTAGAGTTCGTATTATAACTTGATTTAGTAATTACTCTAGCAGCGCGATTTTGTAGTTTTTGTAGTTTCTCACACAGCTGTTGAGACAAGCCATCCCAAACAACACTGCAGTAGTCAAAATGTGGTTCGATAAGACCTTTATATATTTTGATAGCGGTATGCAAATTTATGCA